ATCTACTTTGTGTTTTTACAATATATGAATGCGTGGTAAGGTTGTGAATGCTGTTACATATAAAATCATTAAATTCGTCTACTGGCAATGATTGTAACAATGTTGTACTATCAGTACTCTGCCATTGCTTGAATGCTACAACTTCTAGCTTAATGTCCATAAACTCTTGGACTAAAAAACTTTTTAATGCTTGAATACCAGGGCATTCATCAAATTAGAGGACATCAATGCAACATACACTCTGCATTTTCAAGAGAACTAACAACCAAAGCCATGAAATCTTTATAACCTTTATTCCACCTAGATTGCATCTATAAAGAATTTTGTATTTGGGTGATGTGTACATACACATACATTGTGAGTACCTGATGCATTAGTCGTAATGCAGTGCTTAGGTTTCAGAGTACAAAATTTTGACAAACTGACTTTGACATTAGAATAATCTTTTTTAAATGTAACATGTAATTCATTAAGATTGAGTAGCAATAATCTTTTTTGAACATGTTTCTCTTAAAACTTACAAAATCTTTTTTCCTGGCCATCATTCTAGAAAACTCATCACTTTGATAAAAGTTAATCACTAATTTAACTATTTCTGGAGAAAGAGGGTTTCCAGTTTTTTTCTCAGGCAATGATAGAATTCCGTGCTCATTTTTAACTAGTCTTGCAGTTCAAACAAGATACTCGGACACACAATATTTTCCATAGAGTTGCTCATGATAACAACAAAATATTTTCCATAGAGTTGCTCATGATAACAACAAACAATTCTTATTGAACTATATTTTCTTTGTAAATTTAGTCGTCACATTATTTCTTCTTGCTGTTCACAAGGAAGATCTTTGAGTTGAAAAAAACCTTGTTTTCTAGAAAATCTCGTTTTGTGGCAATGAATGTTGAAAATTTTTCCAATGTTGCATTTTTCCATCTTCAATATATTTATTATTTATAATATTAACATCTAAGAAATTAAAACAGTAACTTTTTCAATCATTCTTCAAGAAAATACAAACACATAAAACCTTTAAAAAGAAAAAAGCAAAACTTTATTTACTTTTTATATAATGAGAGGTTTGAAATAATTTGAATGAAATAATTTGAAATAGTTTGAAATGATTTGAAATAATGAAAATGAATTGAAATGCATTAAAACTATCAGTTTCTCAAACTTAAACTAAATAATTTTTTTTTTTTTTTGCTTTTAAATTGTATTTTGATAATTTTTATTATTAATTCATTTTATTTATAAATAAAAAAAAAAACTTGGGGATGGGAGAGTGGAGTTAGGCAGGAGTCTTCTTGCCCTCCCTTGACTATATGTGTCCATAACTATATGGTCCATGACTATATGTGTCCTAACTAGTCACTAAATGACACTATAATGATGCTTTTTTCAAAAAAATTAAAAAAAAATATTTTAATTGCTTTGTTACAAAATTTAAATTTTTCTGAAATGCACCCTTTTTAAATGCAAATTTTGATCAAGTATTAGAGACAATTCACAAATCTATTTTTTTTCAGTAGACCTAAGATAATGTAATGATTAAACCTTTTACTTGGGATATAGGGTGAGAGTCTTCATTTCACCTCCAAAAATCATCAATTTTAAGTCAATAATTTTGAACTAAATTATATAAACGAGATATTTCCTGAAGCTATCATTTCTTGAGGATGCTAGTTTTGAATTCCAAGTTTTAGGAAATTTCCCCAAGTTATTATCAAGATACTATATTTCAAAGTTGCTTTGTAGTCGCTTCAGACAATTACTAAAATGCTGAGTCAACATTATTTCAACTGACAATATCTCTAGAACCTTACTCACATTAAAAGGGCAGATATGCTCAAAGCAGTTTTTACAATGGCACAAAATTGATATTTGAAAATAGATAATTAATATCTTTATAATCTGATAATAATTGATAATAGTAAATAAATAATTTACAATAATTGTAAATAGATAATAATATCAATTTTGCAACATTGTAAAAACCACTTTAAGCTAATCTGCACTTTTAGAAAACTCTGATTCAGTTATTCTTGTGGTTAACACATATCAATTTACATTTAAAAAATAGCAGTGGAATTAAGAAGCTATAAAAAAAAAATTTTCTTAGTGATGCAAATGATCAAATGGCGCAAAGTTACCGTCTAACTGTCAGGTTCTTGCAATACTTTTATTTAACATTTGCGAAGTTAAATTAACTGACAGTGAATGCATAAATCTCGTCATTCAAGAGTGTACTATGTTTTAGAAAAGAGTGTACTATGTTTTAGAAAAGAGTGTAGTATGTTTTAGAAAAGAGTGTAGTATGTTTTAGAAAAGAGTGTACTATGTTTTAGAAAAGAGTGTACTATGTTTTAGAAAAGAGTGTAGTATGTTTTAGAAAAGAGTGTAGTATGTTTTAGAAAAGAGTGTACTATGTTTTAGAAAAGAGTGTACTATGTTTTAGAAAAGAGTGTACTATGTTTTAGAAAAGAGTGTACTATGTTTTAGAAAAGAGTGCACTATGTTTTAGAAAAGAGTGTACTATGTTTTAGAAAAGAGTGTACTATGTTTTAGAAAAGAGTGTACTATGTTTTAGAAAAGAGTGTAGTATGTTTTAGAAAAGAGTGTACTATGCTTTAGAAAAGAGTGTACTATGTTTTAGAAAAGAGTGTAGTATGTTTTAGAAAAGAGTGTACTATGTTTTAGAAAAGAGTGTACTATGTTTTAGAAAAGAGTGTACTATGTTTTAGAAAAGAGTGTAGTATGTTTTAGAAAAGAGTGTACTATGTTTTAGAAAAGAGTGTACTATGTTTTAGAAAAGAGTGTAGTATGTTTTAGAAAAGAGTGTACTATGTTTTAGAAAAGAGTGTACTATGTTTTAGAAAAGAGTGTACTATGTTTTAGAAAAGAGTGTACTATGTTTTAGAAAAGAGTGTACTATGTTTTAGAAAAGAGTGTACTATGTTTTAGAAAAGAGTGTACTATGTTTTAGAAAAGAGCTTGAATCCCTACTAGAGCCATACCTCAAAAAACTTGTAGATCTTCACCATGCTTGGAGAGAGTTGCAAAAAAAAAATCCAAAAAAAAAAGCAAGATATTTACAAGCGTTGGGAGGAGGACTTTCAAAACAATGGAATCTATAAAATCAGATTTTTAGAATAATATGCCTGAAATGATAACCATTCACTGAATTGGGTAATTATTACCTGGAATGGACGTAAGTAATTCTAAAGAAGAATGTCTAGCAATTCTAATATCATTTGGATAAAAGAAACAATGCTTGCTGTACCCAAACTGGAGAGCTCTTCTGGCCAAGATCAAGCTGAAGCTGTGTTAAACGCATTTTATGACTGGAACCTTGATGATAAAGTATAAATAATGTGATATTGTACAAGAGCATCTAATACAAGGCCATTAAAAAGAGTTTGTGTACTTTTGGAACAAAAACTAGACAGGGAGTTACTACTTTTTGTTTGCCACGCCATGTTTACATACATGTTACATGTTTTAAAATGTGTTTGAAACAAAATCCATCAAGTCATAAGTAGCCCTAATATTCCAATGTTCAAAAAGTTTAGAAACAACTAGAAACTATTAATCCAGCTGCTATTGAAACATACACCGATATATTCAAACAGCATTTTAGTAATGCAATAATTGAAGAATTGTTGACATTTTATATTCATGAACTGCAAAAATCTATGGTACGTAATGATTATTGGGAACTGATTGAACTATCTGCTATTTTCTTAGGAGGTGATAAAGAGAAAAAATTTAAATCAAACCTCCTGGAGCAAGCAAGTTGAATGGCTACTCTTTAAAGATTTGTTTGTTGCAATCCCAGATCAAAATTAGCTCCACAGATAAATAAGCAGTTCCAGACATTTGTTTATTCATTGCAGTTATATATGTGAAACCATGACCTGGATGTAGTCTGGTGGTAAAGGCACGAAATCAAAATTTGTGCTTTTTAAAGAGACAAGATGTATGAAGTTCTATGTTTTTTAAAGAGACAAGAAATATGAAGTTGTTGACAGATCTATCTATAAAGCAGCCCTGAACAAGTTTGTGTTACAAGTTTGTTTTGTTGTTTGTTGACAATTAGCAACATGATTGGTAAGTTTCAGAAGAAATACCACTTTCATCACTCTTTAATGGTGAAGTTAATGAACAAACCAAAGGAAACATAGTGAACTTACAAAGAGATCTGCTTGATTCTGAGAAGAGATACATTCCATTGACAGAAGATTTGTTTGATTATTTGTATTGTAAGCAGAAATAAATAGTATAATTTTTTATACTGTTTTCACTGAACTAATAATAATACTGCCTTATTAATTGTTGCAGGAAAATTAAGTGATTTTTTGTCTGTCAAGAGCCCATATTTATATTCTCGATGAAAAATTAATTTGAATTTCCTCCTGAGACATTAACTTCCTCCTGAGACACATTTTAATGTGAGATGAAGACCTATATAGACACAAAAAGAAAAATTGTTTCCTTAAGACTAGTTAATGATGCAGCTGAAAGAGCAGTTAAACGATTAGAGATTTTCATGGATTGATCATTGCAAAGGAGGAAGAAAAGCAATTTTTGCTACGCTGTGTGCAAGAGCATAGAAATCTGTTTCCAGACTGTAAAAAAGAGACCCTCAAAGAAAAATATCTTTCCAAATCTGTATTTTTATGTTCTATCAATAAATATTTTGTAAAATATAAAAGTTTCAAATGATTTAGCTATATAACGGGAAGGGTTAAAAACAGCAATTTTCAAAATCTTCAAAAAGTTCTTACATTATATATATAAATATACATATATATATATATATATATATATATGTATATATATATATATATATATATATATATATATATATATATATATATATATATATATATATATATATATATATATATATATATATATATATATATATATATATGTATGTATATTTATATATATAACATTTCACTCATTTTTTACTTAATTTTACTTTTTTTTTTTATATATTCAGGGAATCATTTTACAAAAAAGCGCCATCATCGTCTGATATTGTTGGCCTACTTTCATAATCGAAAGGTTAAAATTTTTAAAAGTTATAAATCGCGTTAAAAAAATTAATTGATTTGCATTTCTTAAATCATTTTTTTTTTAGTTAATTCTGGATAAAAAAAGTGCAACAACAAAAGAACAGGTAGATAATTTTTGTTTTTTTAATTTTATACATTTTTATACTTATTCATTTTGTATACAAATAATTAAAAATATAATTTGTATGCATTAAGGTGCGTCAAACTCCACATAAGAATAGGTACAAATATGTATGTACCTATTCTTAAAACTTTCTATTGGTTCTCACAAGCAACTCAAATGTATGTCATGTTGGGTCTCGAAAGAAGCAAAATTTAAAAAATTTTAAAAAACAATTACAAAAATCTTTTTTTATTAAAAGCAATTTGAAAAAAAAAGTGAACACGATACAATAAATTTTTTTTTATTTTTTATCAAAAATGATTTTTATGTGGTAAAACATAAAAAAAATCATTTTTGCATAAAATATTTATTACTTTTGAAATTTTTATAAAATTTTGTATCTTTTTAGACCCAACATTTGAAAAACCTTTTTTTTTTGGCGTTAAGGGTTTTGTTGCAAGTTTTAGACTTGGGGTGGCTTCCCTAAATCTAGCTACATTTTGAAAAAATTTAACCGTGTTGCTTGTGAGAACTAATAGAAAGTTTTAAGAATAGGTATGTATCTGTTTTTGAAAGTATGGAGCATTTGATGCACCTTATTATACATATATACTTACATATATGTATATATATTTATATGTATATATATATATATATACATATATATATATATATATATATATATATATATATATATATATATATATATAATATATATATATATATATATATATATATATTTATATAAATGTGTATAAATATGTATAAATATATATATATATTTAACTTTGTCTTTTATTAAATTTATTTGTCTTTTATTAAATTAAATATATTATCTTTTATTAAATAAAATTGTCTTTTATTAAATTAGATATATATATTTAAACCTAATTTTGTCTTTGACAGGCTGTTTCTTCTTCTGTAGGTTCATAAGGAAAAATTCTTCCTGATGTATAAATGGAAGCATAAAATATATTTCTTGATATACAAAAGCATGTTCTGGGTGCAGTTTCTTTTGACTTCAAATGAGCTTTAAAGTGCTTTGATTTTTTATGCACTTTGAGGTTAATGGCTTTATTATCTGTCATGGTCCCATAGATTTTTAATAGATTTATGTTTGGAGAGTTGCCTGACCAGTCAAGTGGTGGAATATTTTTACTCTCAATTTATGGATTTAGCAATATGGCATCTTGCATAAAAATTATGTTTTTACTACTCTTGTCTTTGTGGAATCAATGTGGTCTACTGGACAGTTCTTGTTCTTTTTGTTCTGGTCTGCAGCATATAAACTGGCTTTGTTTTTCAAAGTTTCGAAGTTTGATTCATCTTTTAATACAACCTGAACAAAGCCATTAATATTAGGAAGGGTCCATAATCATCTTTTTTTAGATTTTTTATAGTTTAACCAATTTTTCTTAATTTTTTTTAATCATTTTTTTCATTTTAATTATTTAGCGTTCTTCTTCAATTTCAATAAAAGTGAATAAATTGACAAAAAAAGGCATTGTTAAAAATAGATGAAATTATTATTATCATTAAATATAGGAAAAGTAGAAAAGTAGAAATCTTTTTCTGTTTAATTTAATAATAATATATCTTCTGATTTATAAGTAACAAAAAAAATTAACCATTATATATGAAAATAATTCATACAGTTTGTTATTTACCTTGATTCATACAGTTTGTTATTTGGAAATATAATAACTATAAAAGTCATCATAGAGATTGCTGCGGGAACTTTCCTTATAGAACATCTAGGTTATGAGCGTGTTCTTTGATAGACATAAGATGGAGGTTTGTATTTTTATATCAACAGTCATGTATTTAAACAGAATAGACCTCGGCGACAATGACCTACATTGTATCCCTAAAATAAAGAACCTTATTTTTCGAACTTTTTTTTCCTTTTAACATATCTTTATCTACTTCAATAATGTCTAGTTCACAGCTAAATGGGCTGTCTTGTAACTTTATTCAAACTAAAATAGAACTCATCTTGCACACCTGATGTAAAGTTTGCTGCTCTTCCAATGTTATCCATTTGTTTTTGTAGCTAGTTTCAACTATATTTCATTGTTTTTAACTTTTTGGACAAATAATTGGACAATAATTTTCCAAAATATTTTTAAACTACGCGAACCTTCATTTTTTTATATGGTTTAAGTAATTAAGTATACATCTACTGTTGAAATTAAATGAATTTTTCCAAAGCTTTCCAACTGCAACAACTTAATTAGAAAGTTAATACTAATCATATTCCATCATCAACCAAACACATAATACTTTTCTCTTTTTTGAAGTCCTGAGGCTAACTTTTGCCAAAATACTCTAGCAAGAACGATACAATCATTCAACCTCTTTTAGGTATACTTATTAACTGTTTCTAGATTTTTTTTTAACTAGCTATTCACTGCATTTTAGAGTAAAGCAGAAAATTTCAAAATTTGATCACCCAGTTTGTTTTTTATAAAGCCTTTTAGGTAGCGGTATTCCTTTAGCCTGTTTATCTTTAGAGTTGTTAAAACTTTCAGAATTTAACTGAACTTCTACTGACTGGCACTTTAAAAAAAGATTTATTCTTGACTTCATTAAAGAGAAGTGAAAAAAAAAAATGAAATCTTGAATAGCCTTCTTGATAGCTTGAATAACGATTAAAAAAAAAAAGAAAAAGGAAATTAAGATATTTTGAAGCATCTGTCTTTTTGATTACTTAAAACATTTTGTTTAGAAAGAGACTTGAGATAAAACTTTTTTTTTGAAGCAATCTGTCGTTTTACTTATTAAAAACATTTTTTTTTAGAAAAAAGACTACAGATAAAACTTTTTTTTTGCAACGATTAAAAATCAACTTTATCCAATCAAAATTTGAATAGCATTAATTTGAAAGAAAAGTTGCATAATTTTATACGCAAAGAAACTTTTACAAAGACTTTTATTTTTTATATCTTTAAATTTTTAAAATAGAAGTAGAAGATCAACCATAAAAAATTAGCAAAAACTGAATTGTTTTTTGAACTTTTCTCTAAAAACAAGAAATATAGAATTTTGGACCCCCCTTATCAATATTGATGTTAAATAAGTTTTTAAAATAATAGTAAAATTAATTGCATTTAAATACCAGTTAATGCAAAACCATCTTTTGTAGACTTGCAATACTAAAGTATTACTTTTGTGTCTTTAGAAAAAATTGACCTTATTCCAGTCATCTTGACAATTTTGACAGCACTTTTCTGGGTGTGACCTGTTTAAGGTAGAAGAACATCTACTTTAAGAAATTTATGTTAGGAAATATCACTCAATTTTCCCTTCAATGTTTCTAAATAAGCTACAATATTTATTATAGGGACTATCAACTCCCAAGTCATGTTGTGTTATTATATTAAAGAAAATATTATTAAAAAATGTTTGAGCTAAATTTTTTGACTGAAACTAAATAAAAAATGTATATCAATACAAATTAAATCTATCATTTTAATCAAAGCTCACCTTCTCCATTTTACTCAGCATCTCTAAGTCTTTATAATATACTCCAGCATCTCTAAATCTTTATATATATATACATATATGTATATATATATATATATATATATATATATATATATATATATATATATATATATATATATTATATATATATATATATATATTATATATATATATATATATATATATATATATATATATATATATATATATATATATATATATATATATATATATATATATATATATATATATATATATATATATATATATATATATATACAGTCAGAGAAATAAGTATCTGAACAAAACATTTTATTGCGTAAAATAAACTTTGTCTGGTTATTTCAGGAAAACATGTTTTTTATTATACTTTTATAATTGTTCTAAAAACAAATTTAATCACCATTTTATATAGAAAAAAATTAATCAAAGGTAATTAACTTGCGTTGCTAAACGCTAATGATTCTTCTAGGAGTGTTAAAACTTAAACCAAAAATAATTATCCAAACATGTTGTTTTGTAAACAAAGTTTTAAAATTGATTATTAAAAATTTTTAAATCCATAGTTTTAGAAATATTGTTGTTTTACAACAAGTAATTTTTATTAATTGACTGATAGTCAATTAATAAAAATTTGAATATTACTATTTGAATATTACCTACAATTGAAGTAGGTTCAAAGCAAGAGTTCCACGCAAGAAACAATTTCTTTCAAAAATCCATCAAAAACAAAGACTTGCATTTGCTAAAAAACATGTAAATATGCTGGTATCATTCTGGAGGTAAGTTTTGTGGACGAATGAGTCAAAATTTATTCATGTGAAGTCCGATTGAGTTCAAAAAGTATGGAGGAAAAAAAGGTGAAGCTTTGACACTCAGTTGTATTTAAAATCCTATTCTGGATAAAAAATGTGGTACACTATGTCTAAAAAGAAAAGAAGAGCTAAAGATCGTGCTCCAAGAAGCTTGGGCTGATATCGACTCAGATATGACAAAGAAATTAGTTGAATCGATGCCATGATGACTTAAAAGTAGTCATAAAAGTTAAAGACAGTCCAACGGGATATTAAAAAGTCATAAAAATAATTACTCGGAGAAGCTTTAATCTTTAAAATGTTGTTCGGATACTTATTTAATGCTAAAAAATTGCATAGTTTAAATGCATCTTAATTTTTTATCAATTAAATATTATTATTGATATATATTTTTTCCATATTGAAGTCGTAATTAAATTTTCTTTAAGAATAATCATTTATTTTTATTTTTATAAAGTTATTTTTGTCTGAAATAACCTGACGAAGTTTATTACCATAATAAAATGTTTTGTTCTGATACTTATTTCTCTAAATGTATATATATATATATATATATATATATATATATATATATATATATATATATATATATATATATATATATAATATATATATATATATATATATATATATATATATATATATATATATATATAAATATATATATATATATATATATATATATATATATATATATATATATATATATGTATATATATATATATGTATATATATATATATATATGTATATATATATATATATATTATATATATATATATATATATATATATATATATATATATATATAGTTGAATTATTGTATATATTACACTAATGATGTTTGTATTTACTTAAAGAGTATTTATGTATTGATGTAACTTTCTGAATTAGAAAGTTACTGTAAGTTACAATGTTTTGTAAAAATTAATTGTAAAAAGAATTTTCTAGTAAGAGGTAATTGTACTTTGTTATTACAATTTTTTCAAAGGTATTTATTTTCATACTTTTGTTTGTAGGCTAAGGTAGATGCAAAATTTCTGGCTTTAGAAAATTTTAATGATATCGATGATAGCATTAGTACCATGGATGATGACATAAGTACGATGTCTAATGAGAGTGACTCTGGTTATGAACAATCCATTATGCATTCACGCACTCAGGCTTTAAAAAGTAATAAACATAGTGAATCTTCAGTTTCTAGTGCTTTATCTAGTTCAAATAATACAACTTTTAGTTCAAACAGCGATATGTTTACACAAAATGAAGTTCTTTCTAGAGCAGACTGGGATCGAATTTTAAATAAAAACATGCCAATTAATGATGAATTAGATGATTATAGTACAAATACCAGAACTGCAGATGATATAGTTAATAAAACAGAGCTTAAAAGTAAAACAATAAGTGTATTATCTAAGACTGAAAATAGTGATAATACATCTGTTTGCGAGTCTTTAAAATCAAACAGAAGTTGGGTTAAAAATTTGTTTAGAAAAAAAGCAGATCATGTACTACCTGAAATAAATCAACTAAATATTACCAACACTAATGAAGTATTTACTCCTGAAATTAATGTAGTTGAAGTTGATGAAAAGTATGTTTCAAGAAGTTTTGATGATAACTGTGATTTCGAAAAAGCTGAGGAATGCAAAGAAGAATGATATTTTTTAATTTTTATTTTTTAATCATTTTATCCAATTGTTTTATTAGTTTATATTTGTTATTTAAAAAAATGTTGTATATATTAGTTTATGTATGTCAATTAAATTGCGTGTTATTATATATACAACCCTTGGAATTAGGAACAGCATTTGGCAATGCCAACCTAACTGCCAACCTGAAAGTATTTGAGGTCGGCAAAAAATTGCTGATCTCGTTTCTATGTTTTATGGTCAGACCTTTGTATCAAATAATTTTTTCCAACCTGATGCCGACTTCAAAAAAATTGAGGTCGGCAAATTATTGCTGTCCTCATTTTTCCTAATTCCGAGACTTGTGTATAAATATATATATATATATATATATATATATATATATATATATATATATATATATATATATATATATATATATATATATAAATATATATGTATGTATATGTATATATATATATATATATATATATATAAGTATATATATATATATATATATATATATATATATATATATATATATATATATATATATATATATATATATATATATATATATATTATATATATATATATATATATATATATATATATATATATATATATATATATAAACACACACACACACACACATATGAATTCTGTATATAAGAATATAATTGCATATTTTGGAGATTGTTTGTTGGTCTTTATACTATTTGTATAATTCTCAGTAATAAGAGATTTGAGCTTAATACAAAGTACCAATATTTTTTACATATTATATGTTAATATAATGAAAATCATATTATAACTAGCAGTAAGCAACCCGTAATACGCGTTGTTAGTAAATAAAATTAAAAAAAAAAAAACGCGTTTAGAAAAGCCTAGAAACTACTTTAAAATAGAAAAGCCTAGAAAATGACGTAACTCAACTAATATTAAATTAGCGTATTCATATTATCAGATGAAATTATTATTTTTTCAAAATAAAAGCATTTTCAACTTTTCTTAGATTTTCCTAATAAGCGTTACCTTAAATGGTCGCCTTTTAAGAAGTAGACTTATTTTAAGACTTGTTTTAACAGTACATTATTAAACCTTTAAGCAATAGTTATACTAAATAAAATAAAATAAGTTTGTTACCATTTTTTGACTTGAAACATTTTTACTTCAATTTTATTTATAGTTTATGCTGTTTTTGTCTGAACTTAATGAAATAACTTATAAAAATAAACTTTATAAATTAACTCATTGCAATGTTATATGATCATTTTAAATCATTTAAATAGGGGTGGTTTAAAAATTGTGCACAAGAATAATATTTCTAGTAAAGCAATATCACTGGTTATGAACGCTTCTTTTAGTTTCATTGGATTTTACTCTTTTTCATAATTTTTTGAAAATGCCTTTAAAATAAAAAATTTAAATCTCTTTAAGTTTTGGTTTATTATTACTTCAAAATTTGCAATTTTTTTGTTTAAAATATTGTACCTTTCGTATATGCGCGTCCCTATCTTATTAACTTTTTATCTGAGCTTCATCTTTTGTTAACATCATTATTTATTATATCATCACAATTATCTATTTGTTATTAGCATTTTAAAATCAAATTTGGTTCTAGAAAATATTAAGTGCTATCTTTTACTCCATAAATGTTTCTAAAATTTTCTTTAAATGTTTCTAATTAACATGTTGTTTTTAGTTAACAACAAAAATTTTTTCACTAGGTGGTTTGACAACTAGAAAAACCTGGAATTATCAATGGTTTAAAATGCAGATTACCTAGTATATTTTATATTTCATCTTTTTAAAATTTTAATTTATTAACTGGTTATTTTTCTTATATATATATATATATATATATATATTATATATATATATATATATATATATATATATATATATATATATATATATATATATATATATATATATATATATAAATATATATATATATATATATATATATATTATATATATATATATATATATATATATATACATATATATATATATATATTATATATAAATACACACATGCAAGTATAGATTCTATATAAAATTAGTATTATTTTTATTAGAAAGTTTTTAAAATTTCAATTCTTTTGAGACCTAGGTTTTTGAAAATTTTTCTTATTACTTAGATCAATTATGGAAGGTCAGATGTTCAAGCAACTCCTGATAATAATTTTTATTTGCTAATATTTGAAATCTTGTATTATTTTACAGATCACATCTTATACTGCAGACCAGAAATCAATCAATCACAGCTTATACTGCAGACTTAGGTCAGGAAATCAATCAATGGTTTCACACTGGAATAGCTATAAGATTTGGGTATTCATTTCAAAAAGTACAGTCTGTCAAACACTAGTATATATAAAAATCAAGTCATTTATAAAAAACTTGCTAAGTAATCATAAATTGTGTGGAGCTACTAATTTATGATTAGCCAGCTCATTTATTTGCTACCTTTACCGTGTAAAAGGTAAATGAGTCTGCATAAAGTATTTAAAAAAAATAGAAATCTATTATTTCATATTGTAATTATTTTTTTATTGAAATTAATATAAATTTTATAATTAAAAATTATTTCTTAACAATAAAAAATTTTGTCTTTTTAAATTGTTTTTGAAATAATTATTGCACTTAGCTGCAGAATTTATTTCTTTTAAATATTTATAAATTTTGCAATTGCATTTGCTGTTATTTAAAATTTTTTTAACATAAAAAAATTGTTGTTTTTTTTCAAAGCTCTGACCAGATATATCTATATATATTTTAATTTTCTCTATTCTTTTACTAATATATTCTTACTATATATATTCTTACTATATATATTCTTACTATAATATATTACTAATATAATATATATTTGTATACTTTTAGTTTGAAACAATTTTTTATAATTACTTAATGTACAAAAACCATGTCAATGGCAAAATTAAATGTATATTCGAAATTGATATTGTTCAGAATGGTAAAGATAGACAAACAGTTGTAGCAGGAGAACATCTTACAGAGTCTTTTTCTAAATGTTTAAAAAATCGTAAGATTTATCATTTCTATATTTATAGTTTTTTTTCTATACTCAAAGGATGAGGGGGAAATATTAATTATATCTGCTGAATATAAAAACATAGTTTTTTTTTTTTTTTTTTTTGCTATCTTGTTTTAGATTTTTAAAGAGGAATCAAACGATCTTAGAAAGAGTTTGTTGTCTTGTTAAAATATTTTAAATTAGGAAGTTGAATATTGACATATTTTGTGAATTTTATGAATCTAAAGAAAATTTAATTGTTTATTTAACGCTTTTTATATTAGAGTTAATATATTCTAATGTTTGAAAAAATATGTCAATCTTTTTTATAGTATATTTTATATCTAGAAGTAGGTGAAACAAAAACAATAACAACAAAATATAGATGAATCCTTTTTTATAAGTAAATAAAAAATAAAAAATAAGCTCTACTTTATCAAATCATTTATTTTATAAAATAAATGATTTGATAAAATAGAGTTTATTTTTTATATATGTTTATATATCTTTAATACCATTTTTACAGATGTATTGCGACCGACTATTAAATTAGATGGTACATCTTGTTATGTTGCAAAATTCAATGGAAAATCGTGGCTATATGCTCGGCATGATGTTAAACCTAATAAGATGGTTTCTAGAAAATATAAACAATATCAGAAAAATTATGGTTTAAAAAAAGAAGGTTTTGTTTGGAATTTGGAAACAGATTATAATTTTCCAAAAAACTGGATAGCAGCACATAATAATCCATTTGATGGGTCTATGTGCAGCAAACCAAGTAAGATATTTTTTTGTTTTTGTTTAAATTTGTTTAATAAATCTTGACTTTCTTTTTGAGGTCTAAAGAGAATGCTTAGTAAGATCTATGAGAAAGAGAGACACTGATATAAATTTTTTTTGAGCCGCTTAGTTTTGTGTAAAACTTGACTGATTACATCATACTGAAAGAGCCATCTGCATGTGCTTAAGTACATGTTTCAACTGAGGTTTACAGTTTTACAATTTTATTAAATTTAAAATGCTAATAGTAATTTAAAAAAAGGAGAATTTTTATTCTTTATTTTCGATTTTTTGTGACTTATTTTATAAACTAAAAAATATGAAGGATTAGAAATTCAATAAAAATTACAATTTAAGGGGAATTTTTGACTTCTACTATAGTCTATTTTTTTAAGCATTTGCTTACTTGTTTTGCTTATCTTTATATCATACTTCTTTTTCAAAAAAAACAACTGAAGAATAATGAAAATATTGCTGTCCCATGCCCAACCCTCAGTTACTCGCAGTTGCATTTCATTGCAAAGTCCCTACTTAACATTCAAATCTTTGAGCATCATAAGAATGCAATCTTGCTTTAGAGTTAGTCAATGGGATGACATACGACTTGGTGTTAGACTGTGCAAAAGTTTTTGGTTATCACACACTGCAGTATCGAGGTTGTAGTATGTCTTTTCAGTTCTATTAATCTTTTTGATAATATCTTTCTTGTACATTCTTAAGTCTTTATTTCTTAGACACGATATAGAATGTTTTGAAATAATTTCAATGTTAAGTTTGTTTATGTTGTTGCCATACATATGCCATGTCATGGCATTCTTAATTAACATTATAGAAATCATCATTTTCTTCAAAAATAACATCTTCCAATTCTAGCAAACCAAATGATTCATATTTCTGATTATGAAGTAAATGTTCATTTATTTCATGCAATGCTATTTGTTGCTATATTGAAGGATCAATCATTTTATGTAGAAAATCTTTTATTAAAATTTCTTTATGCTTGTACCACAGAACTTGTGGCTTATTGAAAGCAAATAGTATACCACAAAATCTTTTTAATTGATATGAATTTTTAATGGCAGCTGCTTCGGTAATCCCTTTATCCCATTCAGTATTATTATCCAGAAGATTTAGCATTCTACAGGCTTCATTTAGTATTTCACATAAATTAAACTTTTAAAAAATCTTCAAAGCTTTAAGATCATGTAAATGATTTAAATAATATTTTTCTCTTCGGTTTAAACTAACACTATACATTCTCTCAATTTTCTCCAAATTTTTCAAATGTTTACTCTAATATTTATCTTTTTTAGAGAATGTGTAAAATGCTTCAGCATTTAAATGTGTAATGCTTCAGCATTTAAGGATATATTTATTGTCTTGCCTCAGAATCTTCTATGTTTAATTTAAACCACACAATCTATGTGGAATCTATAAAAATTGCAGTTGATGCAGCTTTTATTTTTTTCCCTTGTGTAACACTCTGTTTGTTTTACTCATGAATAGCTTAATGTACAATTTCATGTGATAGTTTGTGCATGTGAAATCATAATAATTGCTAAACAGCCTCTGAAGCATTAAAATATCTTGTATTCACATGTTGAATAATTTCATCTCTTTTATTTACTTTCATTTTTTGTTGAAATTTTAATGACTGAACAGTCCTGACCTTTTGTACACATATTTATAAAAATACTTAAATGCTTGAATAAAAAAAACAAAGCTCTATTTAATATGGCAATTATATTTTTTAAGGAGATAACAGTTTGTATGGAACAACCCATTTATTACCAATAATGTGCTTGCATTTGTTACCAATAATCTTGCTTCCTAATGTAGCTTTTTTTCCACTGTTTCTTCTAAGTTCTGCATATTTATCGCTTATAATTACAGTTCTTTTTGAACAAAGCTTTGGAAAGTTTTTTGAACATTTACCAACAACTGTGCAGTGGTTATTTAGGGTCAGGGCAATAACATCCCTTTTTGCCATGTATAATAACATCCGTGAAACAACATCCGAAATTTCATTGATGTATAATAACATCCGTGCAAGAACATCCCTAATTTCATTGATGTATAATAACATCCGTGCAATAACATCCTAAATTTCATTGATGTAAAATAACAACCGTGCAACTGCATCTGTAGATTTTTTTGATGTAACTACATCCAAATTTTTTTTTTTTTTTTCAAATGCATAATTTTAACCAGATGTAGATACGCATCTGATTTTTTTTGGATGTAACTATATCTGCCAAAAAAAAAATTATTATAATGCATTATTTTAACCAGATGTAATTACACATCTGATTTTTTTCGGATGTAACTACATCCGCCAAAAAATTATTTTAATGCATTATTTTAAGCATAATAATTTTTTTTAATTATTTGATAGACTGCCTGCTCAAACCAAACCCTCAGTCAATGTAGCAGCACTCTGTTGCGAATCAGGCTATTTGTCAGTCCATGTAGCAGCACTTGTATAATATAATAATTATATATGTAACTTATATATGTAACTACATCCGGAATATTTTTTTTTTAATAATGCATTATTTTAACCAGATGTAGTTACACTTCTAATTTTTTTCGGATGTAACTACATCCGGGAAAAAAGTAATTTAAAAATGCATTATTTTAACCAGATGTAATTACAAATCTGATTTTTTTCGGATGTAACTACGTCAGGAAATTTATTTTATTTTATTTTTAATAATGCATTATTGTAGGCGGATGTAGTTACACATTGAGAAAAACTCTTGGATGTAGTTACATCTTTCTAAAGATGTTATTAGACATCAATGAAATTTCGGCTGTTATTGCACAGATGTTAATTCAGTAAAGAAAAAAAGCGGATGATCTTACACAAAAATGTGCGAATGTTATTTCACTACTTCACGGATGTTGTTGGACAGATGTAGTAATCTTTTCCTGTTATTTATATTAAACACCCCACATGGACTAAAAACTATTTTTTGTATAACAATATTATAAAGTTCTTTTATTTCCACAGGATCTGGAATTTATACTGAAAAATATTGGTCTACTTCATCTGTATTTTGAATTTTATCATTATCAACTAATATAAGCACTATATTTAAGTGTCAATGACCTGCTTTTTGGAAATCAATAACATATCTCCATGATATTACTTTTCTAAATATTTGCTTTTTGGTCAAATCATTCATCAGTTCTTGATGTGTCAAATAAAAGACTCTTGCAACCAAATCAGGTGTCACTTGCAACTTCATACAGGTCATGGTTTTCCACAATTTTTTTCCCTTCAGGATTTTCTGTCATAGAGATCAGATTTGCTGTCATAGTAATCAGGCATTCCATTCAGTAATGTGTCAACAAGTGCATCCTGCAAAAGTTTATGAATAGTTCTTGGACTGCCTGTGTAATTTGACTATAATAGTATACTTCTTCCTGGAATCATGTCTTCACCATCTGCAATGTACTCAACATGATGCTGTAAATCATCAAAACACTCTCATCTTAGCATTTGATTTGATTCAGGTATTTATCAATTTGGCAAAGAAAAATCTGAAATTTAGATATACAATTAGACTTATACTTATGAAAGTATAATTTGTCTTGTTAAACCAAATTTATACTTATGAAAGTATAATTTGTCTTATTAAACCAAATTTTTTTCTCACGCTTAATTTATTCCCAAACGATTAGTCAAAAAAATTGACTGACATAAAAACATCAACTTAAAAACAAATTAAATAAAAAAAGTTAATTATACTTAAATTTTTAATTTTAAAGTTCAAGTAGCAATAAATCTAGAAAGAACATAGTAACTAATAAGTTTAGTATTTTTTTGAATTTACTTGTTTGTTTGGTTTAATCATACTTGTTTTTTTCTTTGGTTTAATCTTACTTGTTTGGTTGCAAAAAGTCTTTTCACTTTCTGATAAGTTTATATAATTTGCAAACATTATGGAAGTCACCACTGTTCAAAAAAGAATATAAAGGTGATCCAAGGCATTATTATTTCATAATGAAATAAAATAATAAAGCAAAATGTGTTGTTGATTGCCCAATACTACAGAAAAAAGTTAAATATAAGTCATACTAAATCCCAGCAGGGTTTTAGCTAGGAATTTTTTTTTTAATGTCTTTTTTTTAATATTACAAATATTTATAGTTATTGTTCTACTAAGTATGGGGTGTTTTTAATTAAATTACTTTTAAACAAGCAAAAAGAAAAAAAAGAAAGGTCATTAGATTTTGGGAACTTTAAATCATTTTGGAAATTTTGTGGTATAAATGATGCTGTTGGGTCTAGCTAACATCCTGCTTAGCTAAATTATATTTAAAGAGCTTTTTAAATTTTTTTAACCTTCATGATTCTTCAACATATGTAACATAAGTTTTACAGCTCATAATTTTGATTATAGAAACAAACAGGTTTTGACCGAGCAAATATCTTGTTAAACTATAAATTATTGGTGTATTTGATCATAATAAACCAAATAACCAAGTTCTAGAATGCGCAGATTTTTTTTTTTAAATAAATGTTTTTCTGGGATACCCTTTATATATATATATATATATATATATATATATATATATATATATATATATATATATATATATATATATATATATATATATATATATATATATATATATATATATATATATATATATATATATATATTGCATTTACTATTTTGATCTTAGACTATTTTATGAACCTAATAGAATAATTACTTAAAAAAGGGAAAAAACCATTTTGTTTAACAAAATAGTTTATTAAAATGAAATACTTATTAAATTTAGATGAAAGTTTAAATATTTATGTTGTTATATTATTTATACAATTTTATTCAACTTTATATTATTTGTTTATACAAATAATTTTTTATATTTAACTTTAAATCATTCTTTTTTTTTCAGTCCCTGCAGAGAATGGGCATTTAGTTGGATGGGTTCCTGTTGATCCATCAGTGAGGACCCATTTGTGGCATTTAAGTGCAGTGGATCTTATTGGTGGCTTTTTTTTATGTTTAAATGAAAATGCTGAAGATGAATCTTTAATTGCTCGAATTGCACTTTTAGATGACTATTTAGGAGCAACATTCGAACTGATAGGCACAAAGGTGAATGGGAACCCATATGGTAAATTTCAAAATCTTTTGAATAGGTTTCAGAGTTTAGTTATATTTAAAAAATATTATGTAGATATCAAGTCTTAGTAGTTTAAAAAACAAATCATTAGGTTAAAATACTTGGGTTGAAAAAACTGTTGTTTTTTTTAATCCGCTCACCTGAGTTATAGAACAAATAGGTGCCTATGATATTTGGATGTTAAAGAATAATGATGATCATAATTATCAGATGGTCAGGATAATGATCACAATGATGATCATGATAATCACAATGAGGATCATCATGGTCATGATTATGATCATGATGAAGATCACAATGATCACATCATTGATCATGATCATCATCATGATCATCAATGATCATGATGATGATCATGATCAATGATGATAATTATGGTGATCATGATGATAATCATGATAATGATCATAATGATGGTGATGATTTTATGACCAATGATTATGATGACTTTTTCTTATACGGATATTGGCACTTATATATTTTTCTCATATAGATATTGGCACTTCTAACTTTCCTGTTCATTTTTACGTTCAACATGGCGAGTTGTCTTTAAAGAATCCTCCTGAAATAAGTAAAAAAGAACTTTCAAATTGGTTTGTTCAACAAAAAGATGGTCTTGTGGAAGGCATAGTGTGGCATGGACCAGATGGAAATATGTTTAAAGTATATTTTTAAATAGAATAAAATTTTTAAATAGTTAAAAATAAAATCAATAATAGATTTTGAATTTTTTGTTTAGGTTGTTTAATTAATAATTTTTTCAGCTAATTCTAGTTAATGTTAAATATCTTAAAATAACTTTTTTTTTTTTTGCATTTTTATATATTATATTATAAAATGTCACAATATGTCCTTTTTCACTCCAACTTGTTTTGTCTCTAGAAAAAAATTTAGTAGTTTTGTGTACTAGTTTTAGTTCAAGTTTTCATCATTCATTAAGATTTTATCGTTCATCAAGGTTTCATTCATCAAAGTTTCATCATTCATTAAAGTTTCATCTTTCTGGATTTCGTTTGATTTAATGGTATGACTATTGAGGACAATAAAATAATGTATTTACATTTTCTTTGTTGATGTTAGTTGTCAAGCATAAATTATAGCTTTCGGTTTGCGTAAGACTTAACATTTTTTAAAGCCAAGTTTAGAATTTTTTGTTTTTAGTTTAGAAAGTTTTGTTTGTTAACTTTTTTTTGCTTTGTTAACCTAATAATAAGTTATTATTAGGTTAGTATTAAAACTTAATTTATTTGAGAAGTTGATATAAACAATATAATAACTTGCTATTGGAAATAAATTTAAAAAATTAGATGTATATAAAGTTGTTGGTGTAGATGAGATAAGCCTATATGTCTTGAATGAACATCATAGCACTTTCTGTAAACCATTAAATTTAATATATATTAAATCATTGACTGAACAACATTTACCCTAACTCTTAAAATCAGCAAACAAAACACTGATTTTTAAAAAAGGTAATACAAACAATGCATCAAATTACAGGTTAATCACATTGACCTCTATCCCATGTAAATTGTTGGAATCTATAATTCAAGATGAAACTATGGAAACGATGAAACTATGGATTATCTAATGAAAAATAATTTAATAAACAAAGTAAGCATGAATTCAGAGAAGCTGCACAACAAACCTATTGGAAACTCTTGATATCATAACAGATGCACTAGAAAGCGGGCACATACTTAATGTCATATCTTATTACAATTGTCTTATTACATTATCACCATTGATGTTATATAGACTTAAAAAGGCTTTCGATAAAGTACCACACCTCTTGCTTGACCAGTAAATGGTATTGTGAGAAAATATTTAATTAGATTTTCTATCCATCTTAATTATTAGGATGGATAAAAAACTTTTCAACTAACAGAAAACAAAAAGTATTCCTCAGCACCAATGTCTCAGACTAGCCATCAGTTATCAGTGGTGTACCACAGGGATCAGTTTTAGCACCACTACTGTTCTTGATTTTCGTTAATGATTTGCAAGATCAAGTCAAAAATCCTATCAAAATTTATGCTGATGATAGTAAAATAATATAAAAAATAACATAAAAAATTCTAACGATTTAATTGGCTTTCAAAATGATATAAATAATATCTCATAATTTCATGGTCATCTATTTGTTCATCTATTACAAAATTGTCATAATGTTTAATAATGTCATGGTCATCTATTTCAGCTCACAAGATTTAATTATGAAAAAAGCGAAATCGCAAAAAAACACCATATACAACATCAAATACTAAACTAATTACTACATTTAGAATGACTGATATTGATTACAATTACAATTATACATTATGTAACACAGAAGCTGAATGTGACTTGGGTATTGTGGTTCAATCGAATCACTAGCAAGTTGATTCAGTTACTAGCAAAGCAAATATAATCTTAGGTATCTATTTGCTAGTATATAGTAAATAGTTTATAAATATTTCTACATAAACATTGTAAAAAAAGCTTTACACAACATTCGTATATCCACATATTGAATTTGCAGTCCAGGCATGGTCTCCATACCTACAAGACATCAATTAATAATCTATCATATGAAAATAGATTAAAAATGCAATCAACAACACCAGAAGAACGTAGGCTATGTGGAGATCTTATTCAACATTATAAAATTCAACATGACCTTGATAAAATAAATTGGGTTACAGACCATTATTAATATACATTAAAAGAAGGTCCATAATTAAGACAATAAAAATTCATAAAAAAAAACTTTTTGCAGGAATACCTTCAGATATCACTTTTTTTTAAATCCAGTTGTAAATGCATGGAACAACTTACCATCTGAAATAATAGAAGCTGATTTGATAAAAAATTTTAAAAACAAATTAGATAAATCTGAGTTTTGCAGAAAACAAAAACAAAATGAGCATTTACAGCTACTGTTACTACTGTTATTGCACTTCACAACTGTTTACACCAGCTTCGGCCATACTTTATTACTATTATTATTATTATTATTATTATTATTATTGTTATTATTATTATTATTATTATTATTATTATTATTAAAAGAAGAAAAATTTAATAAATTTGAAAATGTTCACATTTGGTTAGATTACTCAATATAAAATAAAATTTGAATATAAATATAAATTTAAAAAAATATATTAATAATATAAAATAAAATTTAAACAATGTATATATTAATGTGTATATATATATATATATATATATATATATATATATATATATATATATATATATATGTATATATATATATATGTATATATATATATTATATATATATATATATATATATATATATATATATATATATATATATATATATATATAAATAAAATACAAAATCTCTTGTACTTATAAGAATGCTCAATAATAAACAAATAGGATTTATTTATTTATTTAATAAAGCATTATTGGTTTTTATCCTTCTATCAATAAAAATCTTTTGAATAACGCGATTAAATTTGCTGAAAAATATGTAACCAAAAACGAAGATAAACTAATAATTAAACAAGCCCGAAAATCATTGTTGTTTAATAAAGAGCAATCTTGGATTAAAAAGAATAGTGGTTTGTTTGATGGTGCAATGGGTGCTTTTGACGGAGCAGAGGTATGTGAGCTTGTCTGAATTTTTCTTCTTTTTTCAGCTCTCCCAGCATTATAACAAAACAGATTTTGGCTTATACCAGGACGATGAGTTACCAGTTTTAAAAAATGCAAGTGGCCACCGCATAGATGCAATAAAAAAAACATATTATTCAAATTTTTAAAATGACAATCTTTCTATCTCTATACAATGTAACATGAAAGTTGTGAATTTTCTTGACAAGACACTGAACCTCAATGATCAATTTTTCTGACTGTTTTGTAAACCAAATGAAGAACTTAGTTATATACATGTTGAATCAAATCACCCTTCTAGCATTTTAAAGCAACTTCCTTGTTCTATACAATCATAGCTGTCAGCTAATTCATCTAATATTTTTCGAAATTCGATGTGTATCAGGATGCATTAAAAATGTCTGGTTATAAATTCAAACTTAACTATATTTCAAAACCTATCCAACCTCAATCAAAAAATCGTAAACGCTATATAATCTGGTTTAACCCCCCATATAGTCAAAATGTTTCTACAAAAATGGGTAAACTCTTTTTGAGTTTAATAGACAAACACTTCCCAGCTGGCCATAAATACCACAAGATTTTTAATAGAAATACTCTAAAGGTGAGTTACAGTTTTATGCCAAACATCAAATCAATAGTTAACTTTCATAACCATCATAAAATGAAAAACAACACTTCTGATTCCAATAAACATTGCAATTGTATTATTAAAAGCAAGTGTCCTCTAAATCGAAAATGCCTTGTAATTAACATAATGTATCAAGCCACTTTGTACCCAGGCACTCCAGACGGAAATGAAAAAGTGTATTTTGGAGTGAAACCGCATTCAAACTTAGATACGCTAACCATATAAAATCTTTTAATACGGAAAAATATAAAAATGACACTGAATTATCTAAAGAAGTATGGAGGTCAAAGAAAGTGAAATAAGCTTGATAATTGAATTGAAAATTGTAAAACATTGTAGATCTTACAATCTCACAGTTAAATGTTGCAATCTTTGGTTATTTAAAAAGTATCTCATAATATCTTACACCAATGACAACTTATTATATAAGAGCAATAAATTAGTTTTTAAATGTAGACATAAAAGCAAATTTCTTCTTTTAAAGTTAGATTCGGATGATTAAGCAGCCGTTTACACTTTTTTCTTTTTTCTTTTTTTTTCCTGTTGTTTGTTGTTATGACAACGGAGCACACTTCATTGTAACTTTATATTTTAACGGTTTTTTTTTCTTGGTTTTGTATTACATGGTGGATGATTGCCTTTAGGGATAAAACTATTAGTACCATAAAAAGTTGTATTTTCTTTGTTTAGAAACTTAAATATATATATATATATATATATATATATATATATATATATATATATATATATATATATATATATATATATATATATATATATATATATATATATATATATATATATATATATATATATATATATATATATATATATAAAATCGCTATCTTCCAAAATGAAAGCGTTTCTAAAAGAAAACGCTTTTTTAGGAAATAAAATCATTCAAAATGATTTTTAACTTGAAACCTTAATTGTGTAATTGCCAATGAATGTAAAATATATATTCTTATTTTATTCTAACTTGCATGACTCTGTTTTAACTGTTTTTTTATATGAATACAAAATGGTATAAAAATATTATCATTTCAAAACAAGGAAACTGTTATCTTAATATTGATAAATTTTTGAACAGCAATTTAAAACATATATTATTTATTTTGAGTTATACTTTTAATCAAGGAAGATTCAATACTTTTAAAAATAGTTTTAATCTTGTTTAGTGTTATATAATACACTACTAGTCTTGTTTACTAATCTTGTTTGAAACTTTAGAGAAAACTTAGAGTTTGCAAAGATTTACAGAAATTGGATAATAGTACAGTGAAGATGAGTATTATGGTTGGGACCCAGCAAACATTTAGACTAAAAAAGACGTCTTTTAGATGTATAAAAAACGTCTAATACGTATAAAAGACATGTTTAAGACGTCTTTTTTAGTCTAAATGTTAGACTAAATAAGTCAAAGTTTAATCTAATAGGTTCAGGTAGTAAATAAAATATGAATGACCAGTTGGTAAGCAATTAAAACATTATAGAAACCATGAAACATAGGGATGACAAAGGCTTGATGGTTTAGAGGTGCTTTTGGGATTTTTTTGGGTTGAAACTACCTATCGTTACAAAGATATAACGGACAAATATATATATATATATATATATATATAATTCAATTCTGGAAAATTAATGATACCTTATATAGATAAACTTATGTCTCTTTTGTGGATGTTTCGTCATTACAATGATCCTAAACACAAATCAATATTTGTTGAAGCTTGGTTCGATACAAATATAATTACTGTAATGTAATGGCTTGCTAAATCTCCTGGCCTAAATCCTATTGAGAATATATGAAAATACTAATATAGAAAAAAAATAATTCTGCAATTTTATTAGTATTTTGGTATTTCAAAATATATTTTTCTTTTATACAATAACTACTTACACTATATTTTACTTAAACAAACTCTTTTTTGTAATAATGCTGAAATTTTAATTAGTGTACTATAGCGTTTTTATAAATTTTATTATTTGCACTCTTAGTTTTGGAGGATAGTGTGTGTTTGTGTGTGTATATATATATGTGTGCATATATATTATAATTTTATTTTATTTTATTTACAAATGCAAATGTTTAATTTACAAAAATAAAATTTATAAATAAATTTTTTTTTTTTTTTTAAATAAGCAAGTACAAAGTTTACTAGATATTTAAATTTGCCACTTGAACTTACTTGCTGCCCTCAGGTGGTGTACAAATCTCATGAATCTCACTATTTAAATTAATACTAAAATAGCATATTTCAAAGAAAGTTCTTTTAACTAACATTCTATTCAACCGAAATTGACGAGCAAAGCAGATTTCATATTTTTCAAGTATCTTTTTCAAGTATCAATTTAAATAAGTTTTATTACTTATCGCTGATGGCATTTTAAAACCTTGTCTTAGTTAATGCAACTTTAAAACCTCGTCTTAGTTAATGCAACTTTAAAACCTTGTCTTAGTTAATGCAACTTTAAAACCTTGTCTTAGTTAATGCAACTTTAAAACCTCGTCTTAGTTAATGCAACTTTAAAACCTTGTCTTAGTTAATGCAACTTTAAAACCTTGTCTTAGTTAATGCAACTTTAAAACCTTGTCTTAGTTAATGCAACTTTAAAACCTTGTCTTAGTTAATGCAACTTTAAAACCTCGTCTTAGTTAATGCAACTTTAAAACCTTGTCTTAGTTAATGCAACTTTAAAACCTTGTCTTAGTTAATGCAACTTTAAAACCTTGTCTTAGTTAATGCAACTTTAAAACCTCGTCTTAGTTAATGCAACTTTAAAACCTTGTCTTAGTTAATGCAACTTTAAATCCTTGTCATAGTTAATGCAACTTTAAAACCTCGTCTTAGTTAATGCAACTTTAAAACCTTGTCTTAGTTAATGCAACTTTAAAACCTTGTCTTAGTTAATGCAACTTTAAAACCTCGTCTTAGTTAATGCAACTTTAAAACCTTGTCTTAGTTAATGCAACTTTAAAACCTCGTCTTAGTTAATGCAACTTTAAAACCTGGTCTTAGTTAATGCAACTTTAAAACCTCGTCTTAGTTAATGCAACTTTAAAACCTTGTCTTAGTTAATGCAACTTTAAAACCTTGTCTTAGTTAATGCAACTTTAAAACCTTGTCTTAGTTAATGCAACTTTAAAACCTTGTCTTAGTTAATGCAACTTTAAAACCTTGTCTTAGTTAATGCAACTTTAAAACCTTGTCTTAGTTAATGCAACTTTAAAACCTCGTCTTAGTTAATGCAACTTTAAAACCTCGTCTTAGTTAATGCAACTTTAAAACCTTGTCTTAGTTAATGCAACTTTAAAACCTTGTCTTAGTTAATGCAACTTTAAATCATTATAATTTCATTTAAAGTCACGTGAAAATAGTTTAAAATGATAAAAGATAAAATGGTAAAAGTTATAATATAATTAATGATAAAAGTTATAATATAAACATAGATATACAAAAACACAAATATCTAAATTCAAAAAAATTTAAAATAATGAAGTTTTTGAAAACTTAAATATTTAAAAACTTTCCATACAATATATAGTGCTTTTATCGACAGTCATTAATTAAAAAGTTGTTTCAACTTCTTGAAAAGTTACACGAGGGTTGTGGAAACTGTCAAGAACATTTTATATAAAAATTTAATACAATTAAACATATTTTTTTAACATTTATAATCTAAATATGAAAATAAATATAAAAGAAGATGATATATGTAAATCAAAAATGAAACTTGCTATAAAATCATTTAAACTGTTTTAAAAATGTATTTAATAGTGATGTACGCAACTAAAGTAGATCAAATTATCAAATTTATTCATTCAAGTTTAATTGAAAGCGATTGCCTTTCATTTTTGTTTTCTCTCTACTGTATTAATAAAAGAAGAGGCGCAAAATAAATATGAAAAGCTTGCTCAGAATGAAGCAAGTTGAATAATTTAATTTAACATTTCACATAAAAAAAATTATTTTAAAAATATTTATGTTTCTACCTCTTTCTTTTCACTTTCTTATCCCTGTCTTTTTACTTTCTTATATCTGTCTTTTTATTTTCTTATCTTTGTCTTGTCACTTTCTTATCTCTGTCTTTTCACTTTCTAATCTCTGTCTTTTTATTTTCTTATCTCTGTTTTTTTACTTTCTTATCTCTGTCTTTTTACTTTCTAATCTCTGTCTTTTCACTTTCTTATCTCTGTCTTTTCACTTTCTTATCTCTGTCTTTTTACTTTCTTATCTTTGATATTTCTTATCAGGTTTTTTAATTCATTCAAAATATTAATTTAACTCTTAGTTTACTGTATGTAGCACCACCTCATGTTTTCTTTTCTTCATTGTAATAACTTGTAGCACCACCTCATGTTTTCTTTTCCTCATTGTAATAACTTGTAGCACCATCTCATGTTTTTTTTCCTCATTCTAATAACTTGTAGCACCACTTCATGTTTTCTTTTCCTCATAGTAATAACTTGTTGATTCTTTTTAAACAAAATGTAATCAGTTAAATATGCAAAAACAATAAGAATTGTTATAAATCTGCCACCCCAAAAAAAGTTTTGCCAGATCTGCCCCTTGGTACCTTGCTACCTTGCACCTTGCACCTTGCTAAATTAAGTTTTGGAAATTTTTTGATTTTATTGTTCTGAAAAATGATACAGAGAGTTAAATTTTTTTAAAATTAACAAATTCAATTGAAATTCTATTATCAAATTCAATTGAAATTTTATTAGTATTCTAAATTCAATATTATATAATCATTGGTAAACAACACTTTTCGATTTACACTTTTAACGGTTGGTGTAAATCTTTTCATACATTCTCATAGATTATAAACCGTAACAATTTCTCCTCGACTGTTAATAATAATGATTGGTACACATATAAATCCCTTTGAACATTATTTCTGCATAAAGGAAATAAGGGGTTAAGTATGTGTGGTTAAATGTGTGGTTAAAAGGGGTTAAGTGTGTGTGGTTAAATGTAAAAGGGACAAAAAGAAACGATGAAAAGTTATCTTACCTTTGACTTAATTTTAGAATAAATTTAATTTTTATTCTTTTTTTATATTAACAACAACATGTTGAATAAAAACATTTATAAAAGTAAAGTTTGGAACTGTTTTGTAGAAAGCAATGATTGTAAAAAAATATGTCAAAGAAAAATAATCATTTTGTATTAACTGATAATTTTTAATCAATTATAAAACAATCATTTTGTGATTATTTTTCTTTGATAAAACAGAGAAAATTGCTTGTATTAAAAGAAATCATTCTTTAATTGTTTAATTGAGCCATGAATTGCAACTCACATCAAGTCTTGAATTGTCTAGCCAAGAGTCATCATCTAGTCGAAGATCTCCATCAAATAAAGAAAAAATATTGCTATAAAAAAGTGTCATCAAAAAATTTGTTTCTATTAACAACAAATCTTCTGATGATTATTTAAATATGAATATAAATATATCAGAAAATTCATGTCTCATTGAATTTTATAAAAATAATTTATGCTAATATTCCGTTTTGTCAAAGATAGCAGAGATGCTCTTTTAACTCCTTCAGCTTTTAGTTATTTTGTGATTTCGAGCTATTTTGTGCAGAAATCATTGCTGCAGAAATGATTACAGAACGACAAAATAACTTAAACCAGATTTAGCTGAGCAATCTGTTCTGTTAAATAAAAGCTGAGCAATCTGTTCTGTTAAATAAAGCTGAGCAATCTGTTCTGTTAAATAAAAACATAGAATGCTCGTTTTTACTCATCTTTGTTTTTCTTAACTTTGCAATTGTAATTTTTTTCTTATTTTGTTTGTTTATTCTATTTAAATTAACTTAATATATTATTTAAAATCAAACAAAATAAAATATATACACTCTTGTTATTGCAACAGCATGTAATATTATAAAAGATTACACACCATCTAGTTTTTTGTTTACTTTCTTAAAGTTCTATTTCTTTTATAGCATTTAAAAAATAAATTATCAAGCATTAAATGATGATAATAAAAAAAAGTTATTTTGACTAAATCGACTTTTAGTTGACTTCAAAAATGTTTATATATATATATATATATATATATATATATATATATATATATATATATATATATATATATATATATACACGTATTTTAAAAGTTATATATATATATATATATATTTTTCTTTTATAGATACATCGCCATCATTTAGGTTTGCCTTGGCCAGTTAAAAATTTGCCCTTTTCGAATAGAACTGTTTATATTGACTGCAATGGTTATGCTTGTGCAGAAAATGTTTTATTGAACAAGATAGTTATTTACTCAGGAAAAACATTTGATAAAATTAAAAATTTATTTAATGATGAACCATATAACTTCTCCTAATTATTGTTTTGAAATGTGTTTGTTTTATTTATATGGTTATAGTTTTGGTTGTATATATGATAACGACCTGGCAGTCTCTAACCATGTAAGAAACTTCATTACACGAACAGTACTTCATTGTGGAAAAAAGTGAATGGATTAGGTACTCAATATAAAAATTAAAATCTTTAGAATATATTAATAGATTGAATTGTTGTTATTACTTTTTTTTTATTAGTTATTTTTTGTTAATTAATAAACATAAAAAGTTATCTGTATTAGTTAAGTATTTATTTATGTTTGGGTTTGACCAAACACAATTGTTTTATATAAAATATTTGCAGGTAAACTAGAGATAAAAATCATATTAGATTTTTTTTAATTGTCAAATTTTTGTATTATTTTGCTTTTTATTTTTTTTATTTTAATAATTTTGTCAATTTAAAATTTACTTATGTCTTACTGATATGATCATTTCAAAGGAATTAAGAGAGAATTTGAGGAACTTTTGTATTAATTTTTATGTGGGGATTTAAATTCACCACATTTTTCAAATTTTGTTACATTTTTTTAGAAGCTTGTGTTTGTCTTTTTTCGGAAGCAAAGAATACATAAAAGTGAAGCAGATATAGAGACATAAACAGATCAACTATTCTATATTTTATGTATAAGATACATAGAATTCACTTAAGTAATACATAAGAAAAACACTTTAGAATTTAGCTAAAATGTTGAAATATAAGTATCTTTGAATAATTTTTCTAAATAATTAAAATATCCTTAAATAAGCAAATGTTACATTGACTGAAAATATATATATTTTTTTATTGTAATTCACCTCTCCAAGGCCAAGAAGGCCACTACAGATGAGGAGGCTACTTGTGGTTATAACCCTCTCTCAACTCTATAACTCCAAAAGTCGATCCTTGGCGAACAAGGCTGCTGTACAGAGAAACAAGTTGAGTTAATATATATATATATATATATATATATATATATATATATATATATATATATATATATATATATATATATTATATATATATATATATATATATATATATATATATATATATATATATATATATATATATATATATATATTACCAAAAAAACCATACAGATTTTTCTGTATTTAATGTGCTTTATATAATACATAAAAAAGCATAATACTGGAATTAAATAATTTTTGAAAAAAAAATATCTTCAGGGGAAGCTCAAATCCCTTTAACACATAGGTCCCTAATATCCTCCCTAATAAGCTCATATCCCTTAAATCACACAGGTCCCTATATTACCAAAAAATAAAACAGTTTTTCAAAATTATATAATGTTGGTATCATTACAGTAAAATATATGTAATCTAAAAAGACGCAAAATTATAAAAAAAGTTTTAAAAATAATCATCATTTTATAAAAAAGGTTGAGAAATTTTTAATAATTAATTAAATTAACTTTTTTTAAAATGCATTATTTTTAATAAAAAATATAATTTTTAAAGCAGTGAAAATTAAATTAAAAATTCTTGAGCTACCATTAAATTTTTTTTTTTTCAGTTTTTTTTAATTTCAGCATTATTTTATTTTATAGAACTCATTAAGAAGGTGGGACATTTAAAAAAAAAATTATTTTAATGGTCACCCCAATATACATATATATATATATATATATATATATATATATATATATATATATATATATATATATATATATATATATATATATATATATATATTATATATATATATATATATATATATATATATATATATATATATATATATATATATATATATATATATATATATATATATATATATATATATATATATATATATATATATATATCAAGACAAGAATAAATGGTAGTATAATCAGCAAAGATATGAGAATTTCTGGGAGATTGTTAATGTAAATATTAGTAAATTTAAGGATAAAACCTTGAGGAAACCCCTGAAATTATTGGAAATAAAGAAGAGTGCTGTGTATCAAGAACAACTTTTATACTACAATTGCTAAGAAAGGATTCAATAATCTTAAAGATGTTACCTGATACACTGTAAGATACATACATACATACATACATACATACATACATACATACATACATACATACATACATACATACATACATACATACATACATACATACATACATACATACATACATACATACATACATACATACATGCATACATACATACATACATTTGTAAAACTATAAATTATAAATTTATGCATACATTTACTATCTATTAAATACCAGCATATTTATATAGATATATGTGTATTTTTTTTAAACCAATACACTTCTGACAAGGTTGCTAGCCTCCCCCTATTAAGTTATAAGTTACTAGAAAACAAAGGATAGGGTTAAAGAGAAAGGAAATGGTTACTAAAAAATTTTAAATTTACTGGTTGTATGAAACAGGAAAACATGAAGGTGAGTTAGGGTTTTTAGACTTTGTTGATGTGTAAGGAAAAAACTAGATGAATAAAAAATTATATCCCATGTAAGGACAGATACAGTTTAAGATGCAAGTTTGTTAAATGACAAGCCAGACAAGAATGAGTTTTGGTTGATCAAACTAGGTAGCTTGTAGATGGAGTAGCGACCATGATGGTATTTGTAGAAAAAAAAATTAGATGCAACTTTACAAAGATGGGAGTGAAAATGGCCAAGCTTGGCAGATAAAACAGGTCCAACTACATCAACAATGCGCTTTGGATTTTGTCTGATAGTGAGAGGGTTGTTATTTATCAGTATAGGAATGTCAACTATTAGCATAAAACAACCAAGTTTTTTTGGAGTAAAATCCTCAAGCCGTTCAGGTTGAACGGTACTTATTCTAAGTAATTAAAAAGTGAAGACTTTTGATTGGTTTTAAAAAGCAAACACAAAAAAAAGCGATCAAAAATGATAAGACTCTTAAGTTGAGTTGTCAGCAAATTTATAAGTAAGATTGTCATAAAGATTATTATTGTAGATAAGAAAGAAAAACAGGAGCAAAGAACATTGCATAACTCCTATAGTACCACTATAGTTGAAATAAAGAGTGCAGGTCTTTTAGAATGAGTTTAATACTGTGATTAGAAAGAAAAGATTTAATAATCTTGAAACTTTTATATAAAGAAGCTAATACTAGAGAGAAGGCTAATGTATGTACATACATACATACACATATACGTACATACATACATACATACATACATACATACATACATACATACATACATACATACATACATACATACATACATACATACATACATACATACATACATACATACATACATACATACATACATACATAAATACATACATACATACATATAACATAACACATACATAAAACATATCTACATATGCATACATACATATTACAGAGTTATATACAATAACAATATATATATATATATATATATATATATATATATATATATATATATATATATATATATATATATATATATATATATATATAGATATATATATATATATATATATATATATATATATATATATATATATATATATATATATATATATATATATATATATATATATGAATTTTAAAAAGTGTTTTATTTTATTTTTGTTTTATTTCAGAGATCAAATTAATATATATAGTAAATAATGTCAGAGAATTCAATTAAAAATTGGATGTTAGGAGTTCATGAACAATCATTTAGTCCTAATTGTAATGTAATTTTGTACAAGGATTATCCTGGGTTAGAGGTTGGTGATGTTTTAGAGATATATCATGCTGATGGAGAATTCAGTCGATTGCTAGTTGATGTCAGTATTGGGTCACTTGGACCACAACCAAAAGGTTATATAAAATCTATTTTAAATTATTTTATCTACATACCATTTTATTTTAAGTTGTTATTGGTTTTGCATTTGTATATCAAGTATATATTTTTTGGAAATTTAGAATAAAAAATAAAAAAAATCAGGAACTTGATTGAAACTATTTGAATAAGCATATACTTAAGATTTATAGAGAATATTTTTCTAGCTACTTTTATAAAATATATTTTATAGGTGTTATGAACTTTAATTTTTGATTTGAGTATAATGGTGTTATAATTTCAATTTTAAGTGTTCTCATTGAAAAGAAAAATGCTTAACCTCATTTTATAGTGTTGTATGAGAAAAAATGTTTATGTTTTTATATTTATATGGAAAAAATGTGTTTAAATCATTTTTTTTTAGGAATTTATATGTTAGTGTTATAAACCTTTAATTATTATTTAAACATACTGTTCTACTTGGTTTACTGTTGTACTTGGTTTACTGTTGTACTTAGTTTACTGTTGTACTTGGTTTACTGGTGTTATTCTATTATTCTATATTTCTCATTTTTTAAATTATTATAAATGAATTTTCTAGTTTTTATTTATAAGTAATCTTTTTTTACTTTTATAACTTTATAGGGTGTTATGTCTATAATTTTGTCTTGGTTAAGGACCATGTGTTGTCATATATAGGGTGTTATGTGATGTTATATATAGGGTGTCTTTTATAGGGTATTATGTATTATATAATTTTGTCTTGGTTAAGAACCATGTGTTGTCTTGCTCATTTTTTATTTTTAAAATAGTTATTTAATTATATCTTGAATTTATTTTTTCATTATATTCATTAAAAATTTTTAGGATCAATTGGAATATCTGTAATAAAATCTCTTGCCACTGCATTTGAGCTACGCCAATATCAAGATGTATGTGTAAACAAAGTAAAAAAAAGTGATGTTACTTTAGATATGGTTGAATTGATTTTTAAAGATCACTTTGTTACAAGAAGTGATTGCTGGCGTTTGCACCAATCTTTAATTGGGTCATGCGTTTATTTCTGTAATAAAGTTTCTTTTATTACTATGAGAGTTCATGCTAACGAATTCTATATGAAAGGGAATCAAGTTGCATGTGGAGTTATTGGTGAATCAACCAAGGTGTGTATCTAAGGTGTGTAACCAAGGTTACTCATTTAGTGAAAGTTATACTTGTTTTTGAAATGTAATGTATAATGGTTAATATAATTTTTTGTTACTTAATTTTCTTGTTTTTACTGATGTTAAGGCATAAGTTAAGTGTACATTGATTGTGTCTAAAAAATTAAACATTTTTGTTTTGGTTATCATAAAATTTTTTTGCTTTGTGTCAATCCAAATTACAGAGTGGTTAAAAATTTTAAAAATAAAAATAAAATAAAAGTGTCTTTTTCGTGAAACCAGTTTTTTTATTCAATTTAATCTCCCTTAAATTGAATACATTTATTTCAATGATCCTCTAAGGTTGCAAAAGCTTCTTCCTTTAACAAAAAAAGCTTTCCACCAAGGAACTTGTTTCAATTTTCTAAAAAGGTAATAGTCAGAGAAAGCCTGGTGAATACAGTGGGTGTTTTAAAAATCAAAATTATATAAATACATAATTATATTATGTGTACTTTATTCTGTTCAATTTAGCCATTGTCAAAAACTTGTATGAATATGTGGATTGTTTTGATGAAAAATGATTGTTTTTTTGTTTTTTCATAAATTTTTAACTGGTCGAAATAATTGTAATAATATTCAGAATTAATCGTTTAACTTTTTTAGATAATCAATCAACAAAATCCCTTTTGCATCCAAAAAACTGATGCTATAACCTTTTTTGTCAATCATTCTAATATCATCTGGTTTGGAGCTAAAGAACTATCTGTAAACATTTCAATATAAACATTCTTGTTTTAGTTTAGGATCATGATATTAGATCCAAATCTTATCTATAGTTATAAAACAATGGATGACATTGTTTGTATTCTAGTTAAAATGTTACCAACTCTGACTCCAATTGTTAAAATTTTTAGAGTATGACTCTAGCTCTGACTCCGAAGCAAAGTTTTTGAAAAATTCTTTGAATTCTTTAAAGAATATTACACATTATTAAAAAAAAAATTTATTACCAAATATATGAAAAATTCTTCAAAGGTTAAATATTTTTGGGAGTTTACATTTGTTGTTTATTGTACAGCTTTATATAACCAATAATAAAAATAATAATATAAACTTACAATGATAGAGAATATAACAACTATAAACAAGTATATTCCATTAATTTGATCTGCTCCAATTGCTTTATTTTTTTAACAGATTTAAAGGCTCTTTCAAACTCATGAAACATTAATTCGGAAGTATTTTGTACTTGCACGTGTAATACTGACAAGTTTTACTGTTGGAGTCGAAGTCGCGATTTTGTTTAGTTATGTCAACACCGCTAAAAATCTTGCAACTCTGACTCCACAGCCCTGATATAGAACATAAATTTTAATTCTTCTATTGATAAGTTCATTATAAATTGTTAGAATTCTTTTTCATATCAAAATTTAATTCAATGGATCATATTTCCTTTGTTTCACAAATTCATAGTTCAGTCTAGGTATTTTGTACTTGATCCAGTTTGGCTTGTATGGTTTAAGTTACTAAAAATATAAAAGTTTGAAAAGGTTTTAGAAAGTTCTGAATATTCTATATTCTACAAAGTTTATGCATGACATACACATATAGTATATATGTTTATTTATATATATATATATATATATATATATATATATATATATATATATATATATATATATATATATATATATATATATATATATATATATATATACATACATACACACACATGTTTGGTAAACTTTAATTTTTCCTATATTTTGTCAATTTTAGAAAAAGTGAAAAAAGTAGACCACTTAAAGTTTAAAAATCAATTTTTTTATCAAATATTTTGTTTGTTTTCTAGTTTAACTGTTGAAGCATGAAATTTTTAGATTAATTTTTAATTTTGTATACTAGATTGTATATCGCTCTCAAAGTGCAATGTTTCATATCATGATACAGATGAGTGCTGAGATGTGGACGTTTGACTTCCATGGTGATCTTTATTTTGAAAAAGCAATTATGGGCTTCCTTCAGGATCTTTTTAATAAATGGAAAGATAAAGATATGAATTGCTACCACCAAGTGGTTATTGTTTTATTTTCAAGAACATATTTTGATGCAAAGTCAATTGGTATTAACAAGCTCTTTATTGACTATTGATTTTTCCTTTTCTTTTTTTTTTTTTTTTGATTCCTTTAAATTTATTGACAATTGATTTTTGATTATTTAGTTATTTGATTTAATTTTAACAGACTATTTTTTTGTGAAATGATTTGATATAGTTATGTTTATATTAACTAGTGTATCAAATCTTAACTTTTAATTATTATCCAAGTTGAAGTTATCAAAAAGAGGGGTTTACGCATTTAGACATCACAACAAAAAAAGAATTAATATAGATTAAAATGGTTGCTATTATAATTAAAATGCATCAAGTTAAAAGAAATAAGTTTTATAGATGAAACTGAATTCTTATTACATAGTTATTAATGAGTTAAATTTAGTTTTTCCGAATTGACTAATGATCAATAAAGAAATAATTTTTCTCTATGATTCAATTAATCAACAACAACAACAACCCCCACCCCCCCTCCCCCCTCAAGATTGCTAATATTCAGTAAAAAATATTTTTAAGTTGACTAGTGAACAGTAATGTAAATTATAAGTTATTATCATAGGGTGCATAAGCATTAGGGTGCATAAGCATTAGGGTGTATCGAAAAACAACCTTTTTTTTGAATTTGAAATTGTAATAGGAACGAAAAGTTGCATAATACTAAAAAAAGTAATTGTGCCGAATTTATTTTGTATATTTTTTATGTCTTCAGTTCGCGCTAGAATTTTATTTGTCTTATAAAAATCACGTTTTCTGACCTATTTTACAAAATAAAAATAACAAATTCTATGCATATACAAGAGTTTTATTAGAGTTTAAATATTACACAATGATCCAGTTAAAAATGGTTAAAGTTTTTAAGAAAATATTTTAAAAACTTCAGTTGCCGTTAAAAGGCTGAGTTTTTACTAAAACACACTGTTTCATGAGTTTCTGGCAAACAAGCTCTGCAGTTAATAATGTTCAATTAAAGTTATGTGGAAAATGTTTTTGGAAAATGTATAAAGTTTAGCTTAATAAAGTTCATTCATCTGATTCATTTGGATATATCTTAAACTGTCTTTTTGTGTTGAATAAAGGCATTATTTTTTGCGATGCAAGTCTCTCTACTCCTTGAGTATGGCATGGAAAATGTTCATATTCCAGATGTGCAATCTGGAATATGAACATTTATTAACATTTCAACTAGATTTTCATCTGAAATGTGAGTGGTATTTGGAGGTTCATTTAGTTCACATTTTTTCCAATCAATTAGGTCTATATAGTCTTTTGCTTCAAAATTGATTTCTGGTATAGAGAACTTTCAAACTTTGTTTGTTTTTATCGATCTTGCTTTTTTAAATTGTTGTAATGCCAATTTCCTCACATTTGGGCGAGTATTTGATATCATAGCAAGAAGCATGTTTTCTGGATGCACAAAAAAACATTGATACCTTTAATTGATACATGTTTTCTGGATGCACAAAAAAACATTGATACTTTTAATTGATACAGGCATACCTGGATAAATTGATGGTTAGACAAAAGCTCTCAGCCTATGTGACGATTCGCTACATCCAACATAGTTCATCAATATTCTGTTTGCAGTGGTCACCTTCCTGGCATGGTTAAGTTTTCCAGGATTTAGGTTAGTCGAAGCGTTTGGACAATAACCTGTAGATATTGCTTTGCAAATATCAGGTATTTTTGGTTTGAACTAAGAGATTTTTTGACTTTTTTTGGCAATGTGACACTGACAAGAATGTAGTTGACTATTGGCAAGGTATCACACAATTTAATTTCTCTTCCAATTGGTACAGACCATCCGTTAGGTCCTGATGTAGGTCCATCTAGTTTTTGAACTAGATGCTATGGAGGCAGTTCATTAGCATGTATTTGACAGATAAACCAGTGGACAGATCTTTTTAGTTAAATTGGTATTGACAGCTGTTCTGTCCCAACCCATGGCAACTAATTTAGATGAATCAATGTTGTTTTGAGTAAAAAAAAAAAAATTATACTTGTCTTAATGCTGTTTCCATGCCCTGAACCAGTTTCAAAGTATCTAGGGCATGTAGAGACTGCATTAGGGCATGGATACATATCAAAGAAGAACATTGTTCTTCTTTGATATTTTTTCGTATATTTTTCTCCTTGTTTGTATCAATAACTGTTGTATCTTTTCTTAAACAAAAAAATACAAACCTTCTAACAATTTAATAGTTTCATGATCTAAATATTGTACTTTAAGTCTGTTTTTCTTTTGTTCTCTTTGAATCATTTTTATCAATTACTTTAGATTGATCTCCTTTTGAAATTATACTATTGTCTTGTAGCACAGCATATGCTATAAATGTAGCACCTCTGCTTGAAACACCTACTCTATCACAGGCTTGTGCTAACGATAGTAATGGTGATCTCATTTGTTCAGTTTTATCTTTTCTGTTCCATTTTCATTTGCGTCTTTTGGCTGTGTCTAAATAATCAGCATCTGATTCTGAGTCAGTATTCCAAATCACAGTGTCATCTTCAGAGTCATCACAGTCATCACAGGCTATTTACTCTGTTTTGTCTTGCTTATTTTTGCCGTAATCTTAAAGTACTTTGAATATCGAGTCCTTCCATATACATAATCCTCATAAATCTCCTCATAACTAACATCAACAACATAATTAAAATTACTTTGTTTTTAAATAAAAATTATTTTTTTCTCAAAAACTCTAGCTCTCTGAAGACATTAAAATATTTTTATAAAAATTGTAACCATTTTTAACTTAATCATTGTTTAGTGTTAAAATCTATTACAACTCTAGTATATGCATAGAATTTGTTATTTTTATTTTGTAAAAAAGGTCAGAAAACGTGGTTTTTGTAAGAAAAATAAAACCTTAGCGCGAGCTGAAGACATTAAAGATATACATAAAAAGTTGGCACAATTACTTTTTATAGCATTATGCAACTTTTCCGCTCTATTACAATTTTTTGGCAATTTATTGCAGAAATTAAACTATTAGAGGTTGGTATAAGATGGGCAGAAAAGGTTTAACACAAAGGTTTTACCATAAAACATAGAATTAAGATTGGCAATTTTTTGCTGACCTCAAACAATTTTAGGTTGGCATTGCTGAATGCCAACCCTAATTCTGAGGGCTGAATATATATATATATATATATATATATATATATATATATATATATATATATATATATATATATATATATATATATATATATATATATATATATATATATATATATATATATATATATATATATATATATATATATATATATATATATATATATATATACAGCCCTCAGAATTAGGGTGAGACACTACTTTGTGGCAGCAAGCTAAGAGTTAGTTGATGTATGTACTGAAGCCCCCAGCAACTAGAAAGTGACCAGGGCCCCAGCTCAAGCTAAAAATGATAGGAGGTATAAGATAAAGAAAAAACATTATTGTTTTTGTAATTTATGTAGTGGTGGTATTGAACTTATCCTCAGAATCGCATTTATTATTATTGGCGGTTCAAAAGGGCTCAGCACCAATACCTAGTTTATCCCGTCAGATAAACATCATTGCCATTTATGCTTTACCCCATGGTTTATGCATACTCCATACTGCAGTAAAAAAAGACTTCACTACAAACAGCCATTGATGCTGAGATTTTTACATTTAATGTTTAGTCAGGTAATTTTGAAACTTAAAAATATTGGTTTAATCATAAATAAATTGTTTACATATGGTTTTGCGAACTTCTTTGATACTTTATCATCAAAATAGTCTTATAAAATTAAAACAATTCTATAAAATAAAATGATTTAATTAAGTCCATAACTCAAGTTACTCTATAGCATTAAAATTAGACCATAAACTACGACATTACACTTTAGCCTTTAAAATATTTAGTCTCTACTTTTTGTCAATATTTATTATTAAAGACTTTAAAATATATTGTTTATGCAAAACAAAATGTTTAAATCTAAAAAAAAGTTTAAGTATTGATGAGAACATTTTCAGCAAATCTTTCCTTGAATGGTACTCATGCATCAGTTCTCTATAAGCCATTGTAGCCCTTAAAAAGCCATCTCTTCTCTCAGCCCCATAAACTGACATTGAAGCCCTGGTGACCTTTTTTACTATGCATTTAATAGATTGACTAGGAACAGGAATATTTATTACAATCATTGAATTGTCAATAAATTGTATTATGTCTTGCTTCATTAAATGACAAGTGAGGACTGGTTTACTGATTTCTGCTGTTTCTTATTTAACTAAATCTATCAGATTGCTGACTTTGTAATTTCTCATCTGTATTTTTTGTTTCAACATTTTCTGTCACCTATTTCTTTATTTTTTTTAACATGTTGTTTTTCAACATTTCAATTCTCCTTTCTTGTTTATCTTAACTACACAGCGTTGTCTGAAGAATACAATCATTGTGTACATTTCAGACAGATTAGTAGATATACGGTAGTATAATATCCTGAACAAATTTCTTCTGATGAAATCTGCTACTAGTTTCAAGCTTTGTAACATTTGTTTTTAATCCATGCTCAGAGCACCAGATTCAAAATAGTCTATTTGTGAGATTCAACAATTTAGCATGATTGTGTGGGCCAGTTTGAGTTTCCTTTAAAGCATTAGAAAAATTATCTGCTGCTAGTGCATTTACATTTTGTACAAGTATTTCTGATTTGCAGATAAAGAATCTACAACTTTCTTCTCAAGATGAATTAGATCTACAGCAATATCAAGCAGTGTTACCTGCAAATCTGTTGTCAGATAATGTTTTTCCATCCAGAGTTATCATTAAGTGGTATGTAACTCATTGGTATGTAAAGCACAAATAATCCAGATTAGTTTGAATCCTAGTTTCTTCTTTATATACTAAATGTTCTTCCGACCTATTATTTTTCATTTTTAGTGAATTTATCAAACATTTGAATAATAAAAGTTTTATATTTTAATGAAATAAAAATGAAACCTGTATTAAGGTTTTTTTGAGTATGCCCTAATTACAACTAACTGATTTTTAACCCCATGTTTTTTCATCCAATCATATAATTGTTCCGCAGTATGTTCAGCAGGTGCTCGACCTCCTCTCTTGGTTATTTACAATGTGAAATAAATATCTTCCACCAGGCTCAAAACAGAAACAATAATGATCTTTAGTGATATTTGCCATCCTCTTTATTACTCTTTGCTTTGATCTATCAATTTTTTCATGATCCAGAGGAAGACTTGTATCAGGAATGTTATCTTTAAAAAAATCTGTATCCCTGGCTGCTTTTAATGTTTATTTTATACCAAATCTTAATGCTGATAAAGTATTATTATTTGCATTTAAGGTGTTTAGCTTAAAGATTTATTTGGTGAACAAATATTGTTTTTATAATCATTATCTGACTTTAACTCCATATGTTAAGATAATTCATCAGAATACTGTACAGTCTCCATTCTAACTTTTTGCTTTGTTCTGCTTTCTTTGATAATTCTTTTTTTATATCAATGCTTCTTATTTATCAACCAAACTTCTTTGCATAGCACTTTTTGAATCAAAATTCTTCTTCTGTGACTTTAAAAATTGAAGTTCAATAACAGGAATTTTGTTTTCCAGAAAACCAATTAACTCCAATTAATTTCCAATTAACTCTCTTTGTAAAAAACCTTTAATTAAACTGATTATTAAATTATGATATAAATTTTAGCAAGCAGAACTATCATGGAGGCAGTCGGGGGGAGGGGGTGTTAAAACTTAAAAAAGAATATGTAATCTTGCATACTAAATATTGTTTTTTACATTTGCATTTTAAATATGCTATGCAATATAGTTACACTTAGGTAACACTTAGAGTTTATGCTTGAAAAAAATTGAATCATTACAATTGGTATGAAACTTAATAAAATGGTTTGTTTTTTTATATAAAATATACTTCAATAACCTAGTTGTTTAGCATGCTGTCCACTTCTACACAAATCTGTAGGTTCAAACCAGAGATGCAGGTCTGGAGACCAAAGTCTTGGTCTTGAAATGCCTCGAGACTCATATTTAACTGTCTTTTCTTGGTCTTGAAGCCTAAAGTCTTGGTCTTAGTCTTGGTCTTGAAAGCCTAGAGTATTGGTCTTGGTCTTGAAAGCCTAGAGTATTGGTCTTGGTCTTGGTCTCGGACATCTACTGTCTTTTACTTTCTCGATTCTTACAAAAAATATCAACCTAATGAGTAGTTTTGTTATTATTAACAAACCATAGATTTAAACAATTTCCTGTTCTCTATGAGACTTCATTGCATTCGTTTGACAAGGATCTAACTGAAATTTTTGTATGTTAGGAGAATTAAAGAAAAAATCTTTTTATTTTTTTACCCCTTCCATGTATGAGAATGAGTTTTATTGTGTTGGACTTCTTAGAAAAGTCTTGATTCCGGTCTTGTAAAAACTTTCAAAGTCTTAGTCTTGGTTTTGGGTTGATTTTTGATGTCATGTTCTTGGTCTTGGTCTTGAAGCATTCAGTGTTGGTCTTGGTCTTGAGCCCAATTGTCTTGGTCTTAGTCTTGGTCTTGGCTTTACTGTTTTACTTGACTACATCTCTGATTCAAAACCATAGCTGAGCAACAAAGTTTTTTGAATATTGTTGATTTTTACATACAAAACAAAACAGTTAAAAGCAAATAAGACTTATAACTGTTAAAAATTTTTTTTAAAGATATCTTGTTAAAATATTTAAAAAATTTATCTTATATTGTACCTATATTATACACAATTATTACTCAACTTATGCAACAGACATTTAAGCAATCCTTGCCTTGGTTAAAAGCATTATGCAGCTTGCATTTTATATGTGAGAAATGGCAATTTGTGTATTTGTGTACAGCAATTGTGTATTTGCATAAGGCAATTTGTGAAATGACAATTTACGTATTCATTCAGCAGTTTTACGTTAAGCCAAAATCTTTTTATTTTGGAATATTTAAATTATCTTCTAATATCATTCATTTGTTCAGAAAATGTTCTTATCATTATAGTTAATATGTGAAAGAAAATAAAAAACTTTTTTTACTTATAAAAAAGGAGAAGTATTTTTGTTTAAGAGAATTCTTTTTATAAATGTATTAAATTTTTTTTGTTTCTTATTAATTCAATATCGTGTTAAGAGTAAGTTCTTTTGACATTTATGAATATAATAAATTACGTTTACGAATATCTTATTGGTAACTGATAAAATTTATCTATAATTTGTTTATAATCTTTATTTAAAATGTTACATTAAATACACAAAAAATAAAATAAATAAATTGTGACACACAAACAAAAGATGTTAAGTATAAAATTAAGTATAAATTGTTTTAAGAAATAAATTATAAAGAAATATAATCTTTTTCAAATACCGATTTGATCAGTAATTTTTGTTATTTTAGTTTGATTTTTAACACGGTTCAAAATTAAATTTAATTATGTGGTACTTTAAAATATGCTAAGGATGCAGTTCAACTTTTAACAATGTAAAAAATTAAAGCTCTTTTAAAGTTACTTTTTATTAGCGTTACATGTTTTTGTAATGCAATAAAGTCTCATAATAAGGTCTGTAATAGTATTAGAATTTTTTTTTTTTTTTTTTAATAGTTTAAAAAATAATTTTTTTTTAAAAGGTATTAATGCATGCTAAAGTTTTTCATTTCTTGTAAATATTGCATCCTGTATTTCTTGAGATTGTAGCAATTTTATCTTATTTGATCTAAAACTACAATTTAAATATAATAAAAAATAAGCGGTTTTTAATGCAAATTTATTTTTTTAATTAAAAAATTGCCTTAAAAAAGATAAATAGTTCAACTTTTGTTTTGGTATTTAAGAAGAAGCCTTTGTTGCTAGCTATGACACAATACTCTTAATAGTCTGCTGTTTAACAAGTATTGTGATTTTTTCTTTTCACATTTCCCATAATTCAGTGTTTTCATATAAACACGTTATATTTAAATTTAGTTCTGTGTGAGTTTTTTAAATGACAAACGAGTAGCTTTGTATTTTGTAAAATCCTTTGTACATTATTTTTACACCACACTTTTTGCACGTGACTTGCCAGATTTTTCTTTACAAAAATATTGTCATACTTTCGACCAACTTACTATTAATATGGTGTAGTTATTTTGAATAATAAATAGATAAATTAATAATAAATTAGATACAACACATTTCCAACAAAAATACATAGTTAAAAATAATTATAGCATAGTAAAAATTTATACACCATTGTTTACACCATTTACACCATTTAAAGTACATCATTGTTTACAGTTATTTAATACAGGAAATAAAAAGTTTTCAATAATACAATACAGCAAAATGTTTTTTTTTTAATTATTTTTTTATTTTTTTAAATATTTAAAACTTTAAAAACCAAACAAAGCCAGCAGCTTTTGTCATTTAAAATCAAGAAGTATAATAACAAGAAAATAGAAGACATTAAATTTTAGAAATTTTAATACAGAAGATACTTACAGGAAAATATTAATTATATCTCGGAATGTTCTGCTATAACTTTCAAGCAAAATGATATCCCGCAAAATTTTCCCATTAAAATGGTATCCCGGGAACCCGTTTAAGAAACCCTAATGCATGAAAAATATATATTTTTAGATGAGTTTCCAAAAGAAAAGCACAATGAGTTTATGTATAGTGCAGATGGACGGCTTTGCAAAGATTTTTATAAAATTATACTCCAATCAGAAAAGCAAGATAACTTAAAAAATGTTATATTGGACTTAAAAAGATCATTTAATGGGTACTTGCATTATGTAGATTGCCAACAACAGTTAATGCATAGCAAAGGAGAGAAGCTTCCCAAAGGATTAGGATACAATTCATATGCTGCAGAAGGAAATCTGCTTGAAGCAATAAATTTATCTCTTAATGGTTAGTTTTGTTATATGTATGTGTATATATATCATGATTTTTATTTTTAATAAAAATATATACAAATATAAAATTGTATATATAAAATATAAAAACATACTTAAATCAACACTCTGATGTCCAGGGTTGGTGTCAAATACATATTTTTATTTGGTGATAATAGGCTAAGTTGTTTTTTCATTTGTATCATATTTGATTAAAAATATTTTAAGTATGTATTTGTATTTGATTGAAATGTATTAGTAATTCCATAAACTAGGTTAATCTGTGTTTTTTTTTAGGAAAAAACCAAGAGATTAGTTATTTTTATTAATTTCTTACTTATTGCCGGCCCGAGGAATTCTAGTGCCCCTAGCAGGGATTCAAATTGCGTCCTTTATGAATTATGCATTTTTATAAATTATAAATTTATTTATTAAATTAAACAGGAGCCGTTTTAAACTTTATACAATACTAAAAAATAATTTTTCTAGCCTTTAAATTGGCAAAGTTTTTAATTATTTCGGTTATGTTTAATTGTGTTGCTATTTCATTTTCGATGGATAATATAACTAAGTTATTAAATCATTCGTCACTCATTGTAGATTGTAAAAAGTTTTTTATTAGCTTTAATTTGCTAAAACTTTTCTCACCACTTGCAACAGTAATTGGTAATGTAAGCATTATTCTTAATGAAATCCAAATATTTGGAACCACATTTTGCAATCCACTGGATTTTATAATGTTCATGAAATTTAGAGGACGTCCAAGAATATCTTTAGGCAAAAAGGTGGATGTCGATTTAAATTTGTCAAACAATTCTGTGTCATTAATATTGCAATTATTTTTCATTTTTCATTTCAAATGCAGATCTTTGCAAAACTTAAATAAGTCATCTTTCGGAGGTATTTTCTTTAGATTATATAATATTTCCCAAGTTTGGTGAAATTCATTCAGTTGTTGAAATCTTTTTTGAAGAGATGCTATAGCATTATCTAAAATAACATTAAAGACGTTGTTCTTAAAATTGTTCTTTGGACTTACTACAATCTCATCTCTACCCTCATAAGCAAACATTTGTTTTTTACAGCATAACCTTTTTCAATAAATATTAGTTCAACTTCCAAAGATTCAGCCAGCTCTTTTGCATCCAGTAGAGAACTTTCAAAACCAGTTATCCTATTTTCTGTCACGAATTCTGTGCATGATTTCATAAGTGAAGATACTGAGGCTATCTGCATCCATGGCTGCAGATTGCATAGATTTGCTAACAATATTTACACAGTATAAAATATTGTACCAGGTAACAAGCATTACCAAAAAACAAAAAAGTTCTTATCTGTTCAGATAATGTATGAGCTTCGTGTTTAATGGAAATATCAGAAGAGTCTGTTTCACTCAAAGTTACTAAAGCATCATAAATTTCCAATATTTGGTACCAGGCTTTCACAGGAAGGCCTGCGGTTTCATGTCTTTATATGACCACACAAAAAATAATATGTTTTAATGATTTGACCACAGCTTTTAACATATTTTCAAAATTTAAAAATGCGCTACAAAAACTTACCTAAACTTAACTAAAAAAAAAATTGTAAAAAGAAAAAAAATCTTACCAAAAAAAAAAAAGAAAAAAAATAGTTAGTTAAAGCAAAAACTCAAAAAAAAAAAAAAAAAAAAAAAAAAACTTGTCAAACTAAAATGCTTAGTTTATTTAATTTACCCATTAAAAAACCATTTCAAATTTTGTTTTTAACATTTGCGTATATTTTTTATTTATTTAATAGTTTCAAAAGTTAAACATTTTCATTTTTTTCATAAAAAAATAATACATAGTTATATATATTAAAAAAAAAAAAAAACATTTTATCAATACTTTTTTTTAAAATTAATCAAAAGTGTTTTTTTACTTCATTGAAAAGCATTTTGATAATATAAAAGCATTTAAGATCAAACTTATTAAATTGTAACGGCTTTTAAAAATTTTTTTTTTTAAGCAAAATTTTGTTTATCTTTTGAAATGCATTAACTTTAATTATTCTTATATTTAAATTCGTTAAAAATACTTTCGCAGTCGTAGAATGTCATTGTTTATAAAAACAAAACAATTTTTTATTTTTTAATAACGTTTATTTTAAAAATGAACACTCAGACAATTTATGTTATAAATTAAAAAAATATATACAACTGTCAATTATATTTAGTTGCAGTTGATATTATTAGTGCAATGACAGTTGAGCAAAATGATATAAAACGTAAAGAATAAAATTTTGTTATATTGGCATAACGGAGTCAAACAAATTTGATATTAAGAAAAAAGAATTGGATGATAGGGTGGCTGTTTTAAAAGTATTTGAGGAGATTATCGCTGATAGCCTTAAAATTACAAGAATACATCGTTTTAGAAAAAACACAAATAATAAAAATCCTAGCCCGATATTAGTCGAACTTCAAAGCAAAGATGATTGCATTGCGGTAATTAAAATGTTTATATAAACTATGATTTTACGCCAACTCAACGACTTTTTTTCAAACAATTAATAGATGAACATAATCGACTTAATAACGATAATAGAAACATAAAAGTTTATAGATTATTATTAGTATTACCTCAACTGAAGTTATTAATATGATAAATGCGATAAACACAAAAAAATCGGTTGGACCAGATGGGATTCATCCTTTTGTGTTAAAAGAATGTGTAAATGCTTTTTCTAATTCATTGACTTTATTATTACAATCAATTTATGAAAGTGTAGTACCTATTTCATGGAAGACAGCAAACATAACGCCGCTGTTTAAAAATGGCAGTAGAAATAAAGCTTCAAGTTATAGGCCAGTTTCCTGGACTTCAATTCTTTGTAAAACTAATATATAATATCTAACCAACTCTTACATTATTTAAAGATTAACAATTTATTATTTTCTAATCAGCATGGTTTTACAAAAGGCAAAAGTTGCACAACTAATCTCCTAGAGTACAAGGATATAGTAACAACAGATGTTGCAAATGGTAAATCATTTGATATCCTTTATACTGATTTCAAGAAAGCGTTTGACAAAGTTTCACATAGGAGATTAGCACTAAAACTTGAAGCATATGGCATTACATCTATGTCATTGAAGTGGATATTTTCTTTTTTAACTGATAGGAAGCAAAGAGTTGTACTTGGAGAAAGTGTATCATTATGGGTAGACATAGTAAGCGGTGTACCACAAGGTTCTGTGCTTGGTTCAATTTTATTTTTAATATATATCAATGATCTTCCAAGTCAACTTACAAATCAATTGTTGTTGTATGCAGATGATTTTAAAGTAATAGCTGAAGTTAATAATGAAACAGGTGCACATGCTTTACAAAATGACATTTCTATGTTTGAAAAATGGGTAATAAACTGGAAAATGCAATTTAATTTTAAAAAAATGTAAAATCATGCATAATGGTAAAAAAAATAAAAGTTATAAATATTTCATGACTAACAATAATATAAAGCAAGAATTAACTACAACTAAATTGGAAAAAGATCTAGGCATATTAATCTCAAATGACTTAAAATGGGAACCACAAATAAAAATTGCATCATCTATTGCAAAATATAAATTTGATCTAATATACAAATTATTTAAGTATAAAAATAGTGAACTAATAAAATTGTTGTATTGTAGTTATATACGGCCACATTTAGAATTTGCAATACAGGTATGGAGTCCTTATCTTGAAAAAGATATAAATATATTAGAAAAAATTCAAAAATGAGTAACGAAATCTGTACCTGTGCTATGTCATCTATCATACAGTGAAAGACTAGAAAAAATGAAATTAACATCTTTAAAACAACGAAGAATACGAGGAGATCTCATACAAATGTACAAATGGTATTATGATATAGAGAAAATAACTTGGAAAATATTCCCTCAACATTCGTACTCTTTAAATTCTTCTGGTCCGTGTTCTAACATTTGAGGTAATAAACATAATTTATTCACCAATTAGAAATATTTAAATCAAAATCGTGAAGGTTTTTTTACAAATCAGTCAAGTTCTGGAACAGTTTACCAATTGAAACAGTGGAAGTTAAAAATCTTAACTTATTTAAAGTTAAACTAGACTTAATTGACTATCTTCAACTTTCTTGTTATGTCTGTAAAAGATTTAACATGGCGTTTAATCTCAACAGTATTGTATATTATATTATATATATTTAAAAAAAAAAACATTTTCAGTAAATTGTTACTTTATTTAAAATCGTTTTGCTAATATAAAAACATTTGTTTAGAAATTTTGATGTAATTCATTTCACTTTTTTAGAATATTTTTCATTTAGGGCGTTTTTAAAACGTTTTTTGAATTAGCCGCGGTCAAACTGTCATAGCAAAATGTAATTTGCATGGTCATATAAAGATAAGGAATTGCACGTCTTCCTGTGAAAGTTTGATATTGGTTTAAAACATTCAATTTGACTTTCCCATCAAGTTTTACAAATAGGTTTAACTGTAAAATTGAATACATGATCTTTCAGTATGTTCCATCTTGATACTGAAGCTGAAAACAGTATATATATTGGTTGGACAATTCTGAAATATGATATAGACTCAGTACAAGATGTTGCACAGTCGTTTATAATTAAATTTAGAAAGTGACATCCACCAGGCATAAAAAAAGCTCTTGAATTTATTTCACAAACTCGAGCTTGTACATCTTTATTTTTACCCTTCATATTTGCACCATTATCATATCCTTGCCCTCTACAATTGATTAAATTTAAATTTAGATCTTCCAACAACTTTTGCAAAATTTCAAATAAAGATTATCCAGTGGATTTTTCTACAGTTTGATAAGTTAAAAAATGTTCTTTAATCTCTATCTCATCGCTTAAAATATCAACAAATCTTAATGTATAGGAAAGTTGTTTAGTATGGCTGACATCAGGGGTGCAGTCTAGAATTATACTAAAATATTTTGCATTTCTAGTTCGTCCTAAAATATTGTCTTTAATTCTGGATGCCAATATAGAAATTAACTTGTTTTGAATTGTTTTTCTGCAATAAGTTACATGAGATTCTTTAGAAGAAATGCGTTGTAAATGCTCTTTAAAGTTGCGTCATATTTGCTCAACAGTTCCACTAAACCCAAAAAATTTCTATTTTTAGAAGTAAATAATGTCTGAAGAACCATGAAAAGGTAAGTTATTTTTCGATAGGTTCAAATTTATGTTGCACATGCGATCTAACACAAGGCGCTAGTGATCTCTTTCTCTAATAATTAAAGATTGTAAATTTTTATCAATAGTTTTATTTGTTTTAAGCCTACAACTAGCTTCAAACCAATTACCAAAACACTTTATGTGTTCAGGTAAATTTTCATAAGATTTTATATATTTTTCCAGTTATTGATTACCACAGTGCCTAATGATGATTTTGTTTTATCTGAATAATAAAGCTTATAACAAACACAAAACACTTTATTAAAACTTGATGAATATAGTAACCAGGTTAGCAAATAAGAATCACCATTATATAATTTTCTGTACCTTAATGATTTTGAAAAACAACGATTGTTATGATCTTTTAGAAATTCAATAACATTTGTTAGGTGAAATTCTACATCAATTTCTACATTAATTATGTGATCACAAATTTTAGAATTAAGGGGAACTGGCCATAGTGCAAGATCATTTATATGTATTTGAACGTCACCAGTAGTGGTAGAACTAGGAGACTGAGATGTTGTTTCGAGTCATCTACTTTTCTCAGGAGTTTCTTCCATTTTCTCGTCCAAAAAAGAATTGCTATTAACAAATGACAAAAGGCAACCAATTTCTTCACTTTACTTGGACTCTATTTGAAAATATTTTATATTTCAAATAGAGTCCAAGTAAAGTGAAGAAAAAATATTAGCAGACTTTTCATTTTCTTGTTTAAATTCATATTATTATTTTCAGTTTGCTGCACCCGTTGGTTTATTTGCAGACGTAATGGACTTTTAAATTAATCAGTTTTTTTACCAACCTCAAAGTGTTTAAGGTGTGCAAAGTATATATATATATATATATATATATATATATATATATATATATATATATATATATATATATATATATATAAATTTTTTTTTTTTTTTTTGAAAAAATGTTTGGGCTAAATTTTTTTGATTAAAACATAATTAAAAAAAAAAAAAATGCATATCAATAAAGCTAAAGTTGTCATTTCAGTTAAAGTTCGCCTTCTCCATTTTTTCTTGGTTCTCAAAATTTTTATAATATACGCCGCAATCTGCAGACGTGATAATTTGTTTTATGCGCATTTAGTTCATAACAGTTTCAGTATAAGATGTCATTGTATTTTTTTAAAGATGTAGTATTTTTTCTGCCACAATCAGCAAATCATGTTTATTTGTATTATTTTTTACTAAATCCCAAATGCAATTAAAAATAAAATATGTTTTGTTTTGAGATCTATTTATGTAAATATAATAGTTCATATATATATATTTATTTATTTATTTTTTTTTATCTTTTAGTCTTTGAAAAACAGTACATAGACCGGAACCTTGAAGAGACCAATTGTACAACTTTAATTATTTCACCCAGCACCGGGGTATTTGAAGTTGGAGAGAATCTAGCAAATATTACTGAAAAAAGGTTAATCGAAAATGGTAGTTGCTTTTTTATGACTGATTTTTATGACTTTTTTTTTTTCAATTATTTGCTAATAGAACTATAAAAAAGTTTTTTGTGTTAGTAAATTACATTGTTTTTTTTTTTTGCTAAATAGCTGTTGGAGTTGATATGGTTTGCCTGGCAGAACAACCTTTGCATTCTGTACCTCTATTGAAATATAGATCATCTTCCAAACTTGAGACTGGTAATAGCTACACTGTTCCACAATGGATAAATTTAAGTTATTATTCTAGACATTATAAATCATCTGTGTTTGTACCACGAATACAAGTTCCCCATCGACTCTCAGATGATATAGGTATAATGAAGTGTTTGAATTTACTTTAAAAAATTTGATAATGTTTTAGTTAATGAGCATAAATAAACTTTTCTTGATTTTGTGAATAAAAATGAGTAATTCCTTTATACAGTTGTTAATACTTTATCATAGTTTTATCCCTGTTTAAAGCAAGAAAATTTTTTTCAAGATGATCCTTGTTATGCCTTTGCTGTATGCATAATCTTTAAGAAACAAAGAGTTAAAACATGCAGGCACATGTTATGCTGACACATTGCAGTATTTTTGGTATTTAAAAGTTAGAACTTTTAAAAAATTTTTTTTTTTATATTTCAACTTAAGATTACTTTGGCAAAACTGCTGGTAATAACATTTTTTGTGTTGAAGTTATATCAATATTAAAAAAAAAAACAGGAGTCTAGAAACCAAATAAATTCCTATTATTATATAAATATTTAAAGTTTTTTATTAATAAAGTTTTAGATTTTTTTATTTTATTTCTTTGTCTTTTTGTTGCAACTTTTTGTTTTTTTGGCCATAAGGTTGGTGTGGAGTGTGATTAGCATGGCCTTTTGAAACTCTTGATAAAGCTTGCTTGATGAAACTTGCTTTGAGCTTTTATGAAAGTATTTTTTGACTCTGAAATTTTTTTAAATATTGCATAAGTTTTTATTAGTATTCTGAATTCACAAAATATTTGCATATGTAAATATTAAATATTAAAGAAGTTTTGTTTTTGCTCGTTTCATTCTATTTATTTTTTTGTAGCAGCAGCTTAAACAGGAATCCAGATAAAATTAAAAAAAAAAAAATTAGGCTAATTGTAGTTCTGGACCATCTCATGTGAGAAACGTTTTTACTACTGCTATAATGTTTTGACTTCAAATCAAAATTGTGGAATAAGTTTATAATATAAATATAAATATTATAATATATATAAATTTTAAAATAGAAAAATTACAGAATAAGTAAAACTAATAATTTTCAAAATAAGTAATTTGGGTAGACACTGCTGTCTCCAATACTTTGGGCGAGAGCCACTCTGATGGGTCTGAGGGTCATTGTCTCTGATTGGTTGGTGCAAAGTTTTTTTAAATTTATGTTAGAATAAAATCATTATATTTTTCAATATTTATTGTTTGTCTAAATTTTGATATAAATTTTTCAGAAAATCTTTTAGTTTTACAGAGACCAGCTTCTTGCAACCATGTTGACCAAGATTTTGAATATGATCAAGGTGTGTTTAACTATTCAAAAAAGCATCACAAAAAAATTTTAAATTATAACCTACAGAAAGTTTCGCCACCAACAAACTCAAATCACCGTCAAAATAATTATACCACACTGAATGCCATTCAATCATCACCTGAGATTCTACAGAGTACAAAAAAACTTTCTTTGCAAGAATCAGGGCCTATACATTTTTTGCATAGAAGTATCAGTGAGGATGTAAATCCAAAAGAAGAAAAACGTGGTTCATTCAATGGTAATTTTTTATTTATTTTCCCTGTAATTCAACTTCTACATGGCCTGAGAACACTATATGAAAATGTACTTGTATATATATATATATATATATATATATATATATATATATATATATATATATATATATATATATATATATATATATATATATATATATATATATATATATATGTATATATATATATACATATATATATATATATATGTATATATATATATATATATATATATATATATGTATATATATATATATATATATATATATATATATATATATATATATATATATATATATATATATATATATATATATATATATATATATATATATATATATATATATATATAATATATGAGTAATCGTATCTCTATAAATATCAACAAAACTGAATTCATTTTTTTTTCAAAAAAAAAAATTTATAATGATAATGTTAAAATTAAAATTAATGGTAAAAAAATCTTTCCTTCCGAATTTATAAAATATCTCGTAGTATTTCTTGACAAAAACCTATCTTGGAATAATCAAATAACTCAGTTAAATAAAAAACTCTCTAGAGCCAATAGTATGTTATCTTTAACACGACACTATGTTCCTAAACATACTCTAGTATCAATTTACTATTCCATGTTCTCATCCCATCTAAGCTATTGTTGTGTTGTTTGGGGGCAACAAGGAAGTTTTCTATTAAATCGTATTAAAAGTTTGCAACATGCTTCCATAAGAATTATGACATTTTCTCCTGTCAAGTATGGCAAGCTCTCCATAAAACATCAATGTATTTCTTACTGGAACCAATTAATACCTTTTATAAAAAAAAAAGATTTTAATTAAATACCTTTTTGTTACTAACTTTCTTCTTCTCAATAAAAATCTAATTAAGAAATTTTTTAATGTGAGCAAATATCTAAAGAATATGAATGCTATCTTTTATTATTATTCCTTCAATATATTATTTAATTAATTACACTTATTTTTATTTTTTTTATTTTTTTTATTGTTATTATTATTCTTTACATTGCTACTACTACTATTTTTATTATTGTTATTACTATTATTATTTATATATCTTTGTTTTTGTTGCCTTAATATTTTTATCTATAATGATAGTAAAAGTAGTTTAGTAGTTGCAGTAGCTTTATCATTATTGTTATAACTATTCTTTTAATTGTTTATTTTATAATTATTAACTATACTATAATTATCTTACTATTGCTTTATCATTTATAATTTTTTTTACGTTGTTATATTGCAGTTATTATTTTTTATATTATTTTTATTCATATTATTGTTGCTTTTATTATTTTTATAAATATTATTACTTTTAACTTTCTTTTCCTCTTTTTTTTTTTTTAACTCTTCTTTATTGTTATTGTTGTTTATCTTTCTTTCCTTTTTTCTTTTTTCTTTTTTTTTAGGTGACACTCCATTGACTAGTTTTCAACTATATGAGTGACATCTAACCTTATTTATGTAAATTTATAATTTATAATTGTAAATTTTCATTATTTATGGTTAAATAAATGGAGAAAATATATATATATATATATATATATATATATATATATATATATATATATATATATATATATATATATATATATATATATATATATATATATATATACAGTGAACGCTCTGAATAAGCAACTCATTTGAACCAATTTCAATAAAAAAGTTTCTTATTAGGAAAAGTTGCTTATAGGGAAAAAAAAAATATAAAAATACTTACCATTATTTCTTTTACTAACTAAACTTACAGTTTGTTTATTAAAAGAAATAAGTAAAATATTTCTACTTATTTCTTTTACTAACTAAACTGTGTACAATAAATAAATTCAGTTTTGTTTTGCAAAAGAAAATGGTTTGTTATTATTACTATCATATAAGCGTAGTTAATAATTTCATTAAGAAAAAAAAAAATTTAAAAATTTAATTTTAATAAATCTTTGGTTTTTTACAGGACTAATTGCCAAAACAAACAAAAACAATTACATATATTTATTCATAATAGCTTTTTCTCTTATTTCTAGTAATAAAAGGACCTCATTGTAGGATAAGTCATTTCTTTTGCGCATTCTATCAACATATTAAAAGAATTTATAACATCATTGATGTTTTTATTGGAGTCATCTGATGTTTTTTCATTTTCTTTAACAGGATTAGTTTCACTTTCTACTTCATGATTTTCTTTAAGTTTAAGTGGATGGTTTGCTTTGCTTGTTTCACTTGCCTACTCTATAATTTCAGTATCTGTTAAATTACAATAATTAATTATCGAATTATACAATTTGCCAAGGGAGTATCATTTTCTTCTGAAAAGTGATCGGAAGGAATGTTGTTTTGAATTTCATCACTTGACGAAAATAGATGTTTAAATGGATTTTGTATAAATGACACTGAAGTTTCATATCATGCCTGCACCACTAAATAAATAACACCTTTCAAATTTATATTTTTCAGTGCTCAAACTATTCCATCTTCTGCATTTAAGGCTGCAAGACATCCAAGTAAATGTTTGCGACGTTATTTTAGTGATTTTATCACATTTTGATCAAGTAGTTGCAATAATGGTTTGTTATTATTATGTGTTATTAGGGGGGGGGGGGGGAAACCTAACTTTAAAATTTGGGCTATCAGTAAAATTATTCTCAGATCCATGGCAAGTTGTACTATCTATTGAGAGAAGGGCTTTTACAAGAAGGTTTTTGTTTTCAAGTGTCAAGTTACTGGAAGTATGAATATATCATTATACCAGTCGTTAAAATGTGTATAAGTTCGCCTAGCATTATTAGATGATTTGTAATATACTGGCGAATTCATATTTTTAAAGCAACGAAGAGATTTTGATTTCCCTCTCATCATCAAATTTAATTTATGCATACCTGTTTACGCATGGCATAACAGAATTTAATTTATGCATACCTGTAGCGTTTACGCATGGCATAACAGAATTTTTTATAATTTTGAGGTTATGTTGTTATGAACAGCTGATTTTACTTCTGAATTAGCCTAAACTTAACTAAACTTAACAACTTATTGTTGTATAATATATATTAGAGTGTAAAAAATAAAATTTACAGAATATTTATGTGCTTGTTATATATGACTGACAAAAGGTTATATATGACTGATATGTAGATTATCACTTATTCACTTATTTAGATATAAAGTTTTTGACAATTTATACAAAGGAGAATACAAATGACTGCTCCCACTTCCCATTTGAAAGTATTTTAATTTCAAAAAAAGGAACTATCAATCCATTTAAACCTCATCATATGGCTAATGTTATGACTTTGTTCAAATTTCGCTGGATGCATGCTTTTCCATTAAATCTTAAATCTTGGGAACATTACCCTAATGTTTTACTGAATATAGACATGGAAAAAAAAGTATGTTTTTTTTTTTTTGCATATTTTTTTTTGATTCTTTCTCATTTTAGTTTTTTTAAATCAAAATCTTATGTACTTATAACATATTATATATTTGTATATTATTTTATTTTTATCTATATTAGTTACATTTATGTATTAATTGTATTAATATAGTTTAATTTTTTATAATTAATACTTTCAAAGTTCTTAATAACTTAAATTAGTTTAATTGTTACTTACTATTCTCTTTAAGCACAGGCACATTAAATTTGTTGAATAGTTTTGGTGTTGTTGCAATTTTAATTCACCAACTTTTACTATTTTTATATTTACTATTTTTATATTTTATATTTTACTATTTTTATATTTACTATTAATTATGCAAGTTAAAGCATGTGTTTTTGCATATGCTGGTTTAACAACTAATAGACACTTTCCTAAAATGAAATAAAACTTTACAAAAATCCTAAAAAAATCTAACACAAAAATGAAGTTCACTTAATGCCTTTTAAATTAAAGTATATATTATGGTTTTTTATTTTTCAAATACAACCGAATGATTACAAAATAAGTTAATTACAAAAAAAATTAATAATAAAAAAGTTCTGAAAACAGTTAGTGTCATCTCAGCAGAAAAGAAAATGATTGCATTTGGTGCATTCAAAATGTTAATCAGTCTTTGTATATGATTTATTTGATATGAAATAATTGAAAACAGTTTTTTTCAGCTTTAATAAAGACTGAAAAATAGTCAAATTGTTCACAGCGAACCTCCCACCTGGTCTCTCTGAAGCTTGTGTCTGGTTTGAAGGTGGTGTAAGAGCAGATGAAGTTAAAGGAATTTTAAAAAATCAAATAAATTAGTGATTGGTGTAATAGAAATTCTTTGCCTTCCAGCAGGGAAACAAACATTTGGCAATTTGATGTGTGGTAGCAATCTCGTTTCTGAAATTTAATAGATTTGAAATTGGTTGTTTAGAAGTACTTTTTTAAGTAGTGCAAAATTCATTAAATGAAAAATCTTTATGCACTGTCACTTTTTTGTTTTTGCCTTAATCTTTTACAGTGTAATGAGAAAGTCTATATCCATGCCTCACATGTTTTTGTTGTAGATTTTCACACATCTGGGTTTTCCCACAAATGAATACCTTCTTACTTTTACTCCTATGTCAAATTTGTATCATTTTCTTCCATTCCAACAAATCTTAAGACAAGTGTAATAGCTACATTGTCCATACATCCGAATACGTATATATTACCTTCTACTAAAGCTTTGAAGTCAGTTAATCAACAACTCTCCTTATACAGCTTTTTACCCGTTTTCTGGGCTAAATCCCTTGCAAACAAAGCTCTCTAATCATTTTGACAAGTAATTGGCAAAACAAAGCTTTTAGTTTTTATATTGTGGAATAATTTCTCAAAATAACACAACTAGTCCCAGATGTTTGTGTTCTTCTTACATATGTGTCCTTAAGTTTTGATTGAATTTAAGTTCCACTACTCTCCCTGATATGCCACAGATAAACAAATGTATTGTATAGACATATATAAGTTATTTTTTCATATAGAATACTCATTAATCTATATTTTGACCTCCTTTCCTCGTACAAGATTATGAACTTTTGACTTGCCCCTGTTATTTGAAACTTTATCACAAATTTTTCTCCACTTTTTGAGCATCTAAGCTTAAGTTGACTTTATTTTGTGTCTTATATAACTTAAAATTTAAAATAGCCCTAATTTTTCTATAGGACAGATCTGCAGACAATTTGGTGGGGTTTGAATGTGGATGATATGGGGAGTATTTGCCAAGTTTTTATTCTCAAACCCTTCTTTCATCCAAATCCTGACTTACAATTGATGGATAAAGATTCCTTGTGATGTTTGAGAACTCTAGAAATAAGTAACTAACTTCAGGCTAGTTTAGAATGATGATCCAGTCTAGTTCTAAATAATGAAAGTTTCTAGAAGTACTGAGCTTTGTTTGTGTTTAAAAAGTAAACATAAGGAGTCGATTTAAAACTCTGGTTGTAAAAGACATTTCTTTGAGTACATAAATTTAGCAGTGAACTTGTTGTCTTGTGGACTTAGCAGTGAAGCATATGCTTATTTTCAATATCATCATTTAGTTGGCATTTTCATATGTTGTATACAAATGTAGACTGCATTAAAAAAATTAAATTCTAAAGCAAATGTAAGTCACAGTACTTATTGTAGTACATTGTTTATATTGTAGTGTATTTTTATTTTAGTGTATTTATTTATTATTTATTTAATATTATTAAAGTGCAAAATTAAAGTTCATAAATATTTATGAACTTTAATTTTTTACTTTAATAATAGTAAATAAATAATAAATGTATAAGGTCCATTAAGTTTAATATAGGGGTTGTCTTTGAGAAACGAGACAGTTTATAATACCAAATAAATATTTTTCTCGATTTTCTTATCAAATTTGCGCATAACAAAGAACAATTGGTAAAAAAAAAAGGGGATTTATTCTATCCAACAATCCCCTTCACAGTACTGACAAGCCTATCTTGATTTGCATTTTTAAACTCTTGTCTGCAAAATGTATGCAAAGTATTGCATGTCTGATGGAAGCCGTACTAATATGCAAAATAACATTGATAAATTTTTCATTCAGTATATCAAATAGTACTAGAATAAATCATGAAAAATTAGTTGCACCATATTTCAATGTTTTCATGGTCACTAGACCATGAAAACATTTCCAAATTTCAACATAACAATAACCTTTTTTCTTAGGTATTGTTATTGTATTATAAAATTGAATTACAATACAATATTTACTGCTATTGAATCCAGAACATTGCAGCAACTTTTTTTTTAAATATTGATTAGAAAGATTTATACTTTTTGAGATATTTTATTATAAAGATGAATTGCAATATTTATTGTTATTGTATTGCAATATTACAATAATTATAAATCATAGATATTTTTTCTAAAAAAATGAAATACAAAAACAACAGTTATTGTTTCTGTAAAATATAAATATAAATAAAATATAAATCAGTAAAAGTAAAACATAAATCAAATTGTTATTGTTTTAATTACAAATTATTATGTCTAAATTAGTCTATAAATATTAAATATGTTTATAAATATTTATTGTTCATATGTTATTGTTTATAAATATATATTGTTCATTATTGTTCATAACCTATTATGTCTAATTTTAATTACAAATCTAAACCTATTATGTCTAAATTAGTCTAAACCTATTATGCAACTTTAAAACTGGATCTGATAACAAAATTATATTTTTATTATTATTTATAGATGTTAAAATAAATAAAATACTTATGGTGAAGTGAATGTTTGCCTTGCAATTCTATATTGAAATATTTAGATACTGAAATCTTACCTAAATAAGACAAACTTCACAATAGTAGGATTGATGTGTATAAATGTACACATTGTGTTTCAGTTATTTTTTTTTTTCAATTTCATAGTGAAATATACATACCAAGATGTGTGTATATTTGTACAAATAGTAAATGTGTGAGTGAATATATTCCTTTGTATTATTTCTGGTGGAATTTTTTTAATTTACTTTATTGATATTACTTTTGTAATTTGTCAATTTCTTTTAATTTTTAAATAGCTCCAATCTATCTTAAACCTAGTATATGTATTAATATTGCTTATCTGGTACGCCTTGCTATCTGACTCCTCTCATCATCTTGCGTATCATCATTGCATGCATCATTGCATGCATCATTGCATATCATCATTGCAATAAAAACACTTAGAAATCTTAATAAACACAAATTATTACGGTAAAAGATTTATTTTTTTGCGGTATGTGTTTATTGCGGTATATAGTTTTTTATGAAAAAAAAAGCTATACGCTCTTAAAAAAGTTCCGGTAAATTATATGAATTTTCAGGCATTTTGTCTGAACTAGTTTGCTTCAAAAAGTGCCAGTCGAATATTCATCTGGACCTGAACTGTTCGCTAAAAAAACCTGAACAACCGCGATAGGTAACCTGAACTATAGTTCAGGAAAAGGTTCTGGCAAATTATACGAATTTCAGGCATTTTGCATGAACTAGTTTGCTTTAAAAAGTGCCAGACAAACATTCTGGCAATTCACCTGAACCTGAACTGTTTGTTAAAAAAACCTGAACAACCGCAATAGGTAACCTGAAATAGTTCTGTACAAATACCAGGCTGGGGCAGTACAAAATATTTTTCCCCAAGTTCTTTGCAGTAACAAAAATATCAATTTTAAAAAAATGCTCAAGTATATTTAAATGAACATTTTTATTATAATTTCAATAGAATTACAAATATCATTATAATGATATTTGTAATTCTATATCCATTTACATGTCAGATATATTTACGGAAACAAATGAAAAGTTACACTTTTAAAACTTTTATAAAAACTCCATTTTTTTAGCCAAGTTTTGATTTTTAAACATAATGATTAAATCACCCCATAAAACATAAGCTGTAACATAAGAGTTTGTTTAAATAAAAATACATCCAGTCTACAAGTAAATATTTTGAGTAAGATAAATTAAACATTTCGAAACAATTACTAGGTAACTGTTATACTAGGTAACTACTATTTTATACCAATATGGCTAAACTAGCCATATTGGTTCACTTAGCCACATATATGTACACATCACAAATTTAATATAAATTACAAAAAAAAAATTATAGTTGTATCCATTAAAATTTAAACATTTAAAAATTTATCTACTTCTTAATTTTTCATTAACAAACAATGACAGATCACTGCTACCTCTTGATAACAGCAAATTGTCGTTAACACCCATAACACGTAAAAAATGTAAAACATGTTTGCACTCTGGCGCATATTCAATGATAATGAAGAATAGTTTCAGTAAACGGTCTACTGCACTTAACATGCAAAAAAAGTTGCAAGACAAAAATTATTATTACTAAAGGTCTGAAAAACTTTAGTGGTAATTTAAAAATCAACCAATGAAAAACTATACATAAGCTATTTGCGCATT